CAGTAGGCGGTGTGGGGGAGAGCGATGATTCAGAATCGAGTTTTTTTTGGGTTGGATCCCGTAAATATATAAACGTGTCATTAAACCCGCCACCACCACCCGACACAGCCAACTAGTAAGGGTTGTTACGTAAACAAAACATGCCAATTATCTACTTGGTTCTTTCGGTAAAGTTACGTAGAAGGAAAAGAATAAAATAATAAAAATATAACTAAAACATAATAAAATTATTCTCACGACGTTTCGGCCACAACGCAAGCAGCCGTCTTCAGGTGGAGAACAGGTCTGTCGAGAAGGCAGAGTCTGACCTGTTCTCCACCTGAAGACGGCTGCTTGCGTTGTGGCCGAAACGTCGTGAGATTTATTTTATTATTTTTAGTTTTATTATTTTATTATTTTCCTTCTACGTGACTTTACCGAAAGAACCAAGAAGATGAATCCCTGCAGTCACGAAAGCTTTAAATCGAAACATGCCAATTAGTTACTAGTTCAGCGCACCGGGATGTTGGAAAGTAAACCCACAACATTTACAATTCGAGTACGATGTTTTGCCGGTAATTGATGTTTGCTATGCACAGCACATTCCAATAAAGTAGTTTGCAGGTCATTTTTAAAAAAATATATAATCTGGACAATGCCGACGGTACAGGAAGGTCGATTCTTGCGGGTGACGTAACTGGAGTCCACCGTGACGCAGACGGGCGAGTGGTAATGTTTACTGCACGTGCAGTATTAATCAGGGCTGCCGCTTTGCTTCGAACCGTGAACCTTCGCAACAAGTGGCGACGTCACTCCGCCACGCCATCGCCCTGGATAACACAGGGAGGGGATTGCGGTGAGTTTTATAATCGGGATAATATTGTAATATGATAATTGGTTCTTTACCCTTCTATCTGGCAACAAAACTGACACCTTTTTGCAAGGAGTCATGTTTGCATAGACCGCAATACCTGCAGTCATAATACAAACAAAAGAACATAACTCTGATAATGTGCACTGTCCTTGAAGTTGATTGGTCCACACCAGAGACAGCTTTCCTTCGAGCCTAGTCTCATATGGGTTGGACCAGATGACGCCAAAAGACGCACTCAGAGTTATGTTCTTTTGTTTGTATTATGACTGCAGGTATTGCGGTCTATGCAAACATGACTCCTTGCAAAAAGGTGTCAGTTTTGTTGCCAGATAGAAGGGTAAAGAACCAATTATCATATTTTTACTGGCAAATGAGGTCCCCATAGAATATTGTAATAGTTTACCAAGAACCCCGATCACGGCAGAAGCAAAGTGGTGTGGTTGGTTGGTGTGTGTGTGTGTGTGCATCTCGAGTAAACGTCTCTTGAACGTTTCTTCTCGCGGTAAGTGTACGGGCAAGGAGCGTGGCAAGGATGCAACACGGAGTGGGTGGTGGTAAGATAGTGGCTTGCGTCTCCGAGGGAGAAAGTTTCTGAAATGGGGGGGAAGGTTTCGGCACGGTCAATGGTAGAAAGCCAGAATAATTGGCGTAGTTCCTACATCGCTTCCTCCTCCTCCTCCGCAGTTGTGGAATGTCTTCAATGCCCTCCTTTCATGCGAGACATTAAACAAAAAACCTTTTGAGCCCGTAAACAAACCGACATGCACACACATTCCGCTAATGCGAGTGCTCAACTGTGGCGCAATTTGTCTTCACGCGACGAGGAAAAGCACCGCTCAAGGATGAACCAGGGGAGGAGAACAACAGGAGGGTGGGTTGGTAAATAAAGATTTTGTTTATACTTAAAAAAAAAGGTAAACCCCCGCTAGAGGTTGACGTTGGCGTGCCGAACGTTTCGCTTCGGTGACAACACCGATGGGCAGTGGGACGCGATTTGGAGCAGATGGAGCATTGCACTCGCGTTAACTGTCCCAACAGGTTAGACAGTTGGGGTGTGTGTGGTGAGTGTGTGTGGTGAGTGTGTGTGGTGAGTGTGTGTGGTGAGTGTGTGTGGTGTGTGTGTGGTGAGTGTGTGTGGTGAGTGTGTGTGGTGAGTGTCGGGGTGTGTGTGGTGAGTGTGTGTGGTTAGTGTGTGTGGTTAGTGTTGGGGTGTGTGTGGTGAGTGTGTGTGGTTAGTGTGTGTGGTGAGTGTGTGTGGTTAGTGTGTGTGGTTAGTGTGTGTGGTTAGTGTTGGGGTGTGTGTGGTGAGTGTTGGGGTGTGTGTGTGGTGAGTGTTGGGGTGTGTGTGTGGTGAGTGTGTGTGGTGAGTGTTGGGTGTGTGGTGAGTGTTCGGTGTGTGTGTGTGGTGAGTGATGGAGAGTGTGTGGTGAGTGTTGGGGTGTGTGTGGTGAGTGTTGGGGTGTGTGTGGTTAGTGTTGGGGTGGGTGTGTGGTGAGTGTTGGGGTGTGTGTGGTGAGTGTTGGGGTGTGTGTGTGGTGAGTGTTGAGGGGTGTGTGGTGAGTGTTGGGGTGTGTGTGTGTGGTGAGTGTGGGGTGTGTGTGGTGAGTGTTGGGGTTTATGTGTGGTGTGTGTGGTGAGTGTTGGGGTGTGTGTGTGGTGAGTGTTGGGGTTGTGTGTGGTGAGTGTTGGGGTGTGTGTGGTGAGTGTTGGGGAGTGGGTGGTGAGTGTTGGGGTGGGTGTGTGGTGAGTGTTGGGGTGTGTGTGGTGAGTGTGTGTGGGTGAGTGTTGGGGTGAGTGTGTGGTGAGTGTTGGGGTCAGTATTGGGGTGTGTGTGTGGTGAGTGTTGGGGTAGGTGTGTGGTGAGTGTTGGGGTGTGTGTGGTAAGTTTTGGGGTGTGTGTGTGGTGAGTGTTGGAGTGTCGGTGTGGTGAGTGTTGGGGTGTGTGTTGGGGTGTGTGTGTGTGGTGAGTGTTGGGGTGGGTGTTGGGGTGTGTGTGTGGTGAGTGTTGGGGTGTGTGTGTGGTGAGTGTTGGGGTGTGTGTGTGGTGAGTATTGGGGTATGTGTGTGGCGAGTGTTGGGGTGTGTGTGGTGTCTGTGGTGAGTATTGGGGTGTGTGTGTGGTGAGTGTTGGAGTGTGTGTGGTGAGTGTTGGGGTGTGTGTGTGGTGAGTATTGGGGTGGGTGTTGGGGTGTGTGTGTGGTTAGTGTTGGGGTGAGTGTTGGGGTGTGTGGGTGGTGGGTCTTCGGGTGGGCGGTGTGGTGAGTTTTGGAGTGTGTGCGGTGAGTGTTGGGGTGTGTGTGTGGTGAGTGTTGGGGGGTGTGTGGTGAGTGTTGGGGTGTGTGTGTGGTGAGTGTTGGGGTGTGTGGTGAGTGTTGGGGTGTGTGTGTGGTGAGTGTTGGGGTGTGTGTGTGGTGAGTGTTGGGGTTGGTGTTGGGGTGTGTGTGTGGTTAGTGTTGGGGTGTGTGGGTGTTCGGGTGGGTGTGTGGTGAGTGTTGGAGTGTGTGTGTGTGGTGAGTGTTGGAGTGTGTGCGGTGAGTGTTGGGGGTGTGTGTGGTGAGTGTTGGGGGGTGTGTGGTGAGTGTTGGGGTGTGTGTGTGGTGAGTGTTGGGGGTGTGTGTGGTGTGTGTGTGGTGAGTGTGTTGAGTGTTGGGGTGGGTGTGTGGTGAGTGTTGGTGTGTGTGTGTGGTGAGTGTTGGGGTGTGTGTGTGGTGAGTGTTGGGGTGTGTGTGTGGTGAGTGTTGGGGTGTGTGTGTGGTGAGTGTTGGGGTGGGTGTTGGGGTGTGTGTGTGGTTAGTGTTGGGGTGTGTGGGTGGTGGGTGTTCGGGTGGGTGTGTGGTGAGTGTTGGAGTGTGTGTGTGTGTGGTGAGTGTTGGGGGGTGTGTGGTGAGTGTTGGGGTGTGTGTGTGTGGTGAGTGTTGGGGTAGGTGGGTGGTGAGTGTTGGGGTGGGTGGGTGGTGAGTGTTGGGGTGGGTGTGTGGTGAGTGTTGGGGTGGGTGTTGGGGTGTGTGTGTGGTGAGCGTTGGGGTGTGTGTGTGGTGTGCGTTGGGGTGTGTGTGTGGTGAGTGTTGGGGTGTGTGTGTGGTTAGTGTTGGGGTGAGTGTTGGGGTGTGTGTGTGGTGAGTGTTGGGGTGTGTGTGTGCTGAGTGTTGGGGTGGGTGTGTGTTGAGTGTTGGGGTGTGTGTGTGGTGAGTGTTGGGGTGGGAAGTGTGTGTGTGTGTGGTGAGTGTTGGGGTGGGTGGGTGGTGAGTGTTGGGGTGTGTGTGTGGTGAGTGTTGGGGGGGGGTGTGGTGAGTGTGTGTGGTGAGTGTTGGGGTGTGTGTTGGGGTGTGTATGTGGTGAGTGTTGGGGTGGGTGTGTGGTGAGTGTTGGGGTGTGTGTGTGGTGAGTGTTGGGGTGGGTGGTGAGTGTTGGAGTGTGTGTGTGGTGAGTGTTGGGGTGTGTGGTGAGTGTTGGGGTGTGTGTGTGGTGTGTGTGGTGAGTGTTGGGGTGTGTGGTGAGTGTTGGGGTGTGTGGTGATTGTTGGTTGTGTGGTAAGTGTTGGGGTGGGTGTGTGGTGAGTGTTGGTGTGTGTGTGTGGTGAGTGTTGGGGTGTGTGTGTGGTGAGTGTTGGGGTGTGTGTGTGGTGAGTGTTGGGGGTGTGTGTGGTGTGTGTGTGGTGAGTGTGTTGAGTGTTGGGGTGGGTGTGTGGTGAGTGTTGGTGTGTGTGTGTGGTGAGTGTTGGGGTGTGTGTGTGGTGAGTGTTGGGGTGTGTGTGTGGTGAGTGTTGGGGGTGTGTGTGGTGTGTGTGTGGTGAGTGTGTTGAGTGTTGGGGTGGGTGTGTGGTGAGTGTTGGTGTGTGTGTGTGTGGTGAGTGTTGGGGTGTGTGTGTGGTGAGTGTTGGGGTGTGTGTGTGGTGAGTGTTGGGGGGTGTGTGTGGTGTGTGTGGTGAGTGTGTGTGTGGTGAGTGTTGGGGTGTGTGTGTGTTGAGTGTTGGAGTGTGTGTGTGTTGAGTGTTGGTATGGATGTGGTGAGTGTTGGTGTGTGTGTGTGGTGAGTGTTGGTGTGTGTGTCGTGAGTGTGTGTGTGTTGAGTGTTGGAGTGGGTGGGTGGGATTAGGTCATGCTCCCATTGATGGGCGGGGACAAACAAAAACCCCCCTTCAGTTGGAATTGACACGGTCACCCAGCACTCATCATCCGGTCCCTCGACAGAGGGGAGTTCTCTGCCACTTGCTCCCCAGTCGTCGGCTTGGCAAGGGACGGAATTCGCACCACGTAGTGCCGCTGTGAGACTCCACGAGCGATGTCTGTGACGCCCCAAGAGGAACGCTCGGCGTTTTCCCTGGAGGAGAATCACATCGTGAACTTTGACAACCACCGCCTGTACTGCCGCTACTACAGCCCGGCAAGCCAGCAGGAGCCCAGGTGAGCGTGGATTGCAGGTTACACATTGGCAGTGATGGTTAGAAGCGTGCTTAGATGTCTGTGCTGTATTTTCAGGATTCGAAGTTGAATTTCCTCCCCCCCACCTCCCACAGAAGTTGAGGCTGCGTCGTATAATCCGGAGAACGCGGTCATTCTGATCAGTGCAGTTGTTTTGCTCTTGTTGACATCAACTAAATTAGACCCCAATTTACCGATTAAACTACTGCCATAAGTGGCTTATTCTGGCATGTGGTTACTTAACTTTGGAAGATGATGTACGGCCCTTTTGGACGTGTTAGTGGCTTGGTCGTTTAAGCAACGCTTCGGGCAGGCTGGTCGATGCTAGTCCGTCAGATGTCCTTCACCACCGATGTCTCTGCGTCGTTCGGTTTGTAAGGAAACGTCTGTTGAACTTCTAGCGCACCGTACGTAGCCAACCGTGCACATCGGAGGCGCTGGGGAAGGACAAGAAACTAAACACAACAACAACAAGCGGTTTTAAAGAAATGCGCTTTCAATCTAAGAAATTAATTTTCACTCGAGGTTCATAAGCGCAGTGCGAGAAGCACTGAGCACACGCTTTCTTGGGTCGTATTCGAAGCGACTGAAGATTGAATGCAAGTCACTCGACTCAAGGTGTGTCATCACGGCACAGCTGCAGCCTGTAACGGTAACCACGCTTTCAGAAACATCGTAAAGGTGCTGTGATTTGACAATTACTCCCGATCACTTTTTTGTTTAATACAAAGCAATATCTTCTTGGTTCTTTCGGTAAAGATTCGCGTGACTTTACCGAAAGAACCAAGAAGATGAATTCCCTGCAGTCACGAAAGCTTTAAATCGAAATACAAAGCAATATTTTTCAGGTTTTTATTTAGTGATTAGGTATAGCCTCTGTGAGCCATGCGGCTCTTGACTCAGGTGCAACCGCAACAAACAAAAGCATGAACAAAGAACATCTAAAAGTGACGACGCCCAACAGAAACATCCAGGAAAAACCAGCAAGATCTTCCAGAAAAAAACACCGTACATTACAACGCTGTGTGCAGAAATCCCAGTGGTACGCAAGTCAATTTTGGAATGGGCAATATCTGTATTTGAAATGCGTACTTTCTCTACTTGTGAACTTTAGTTCTTATCATTACTTGCCAGCACTGAAGGAACGTCATTGTGTTCGCATTGTGTTTGCGTCAGTTACCAGAGATGTCCCATTGACTCACGACGCGATCCTCTTAGTAACACGCGAAGTGGCCTCACACACTCTGTCATTCTGTATTCTCCCCACTCATTCGGCTCCCACGCGCGTTAGCGTCGTCTTGCACGTAATAACAACAATTTACATTTAACAGAGCGCGCTTAAACTAATCGTTCTCAGGGCAACTCGGTCACTGAATTAATTCGACGCGGCAAATCCGGACAACGCAGCGTAGCAGCGGTGAGCGTCTACGCAGTGGCATTATTTAATCTTTGAAATAAAATCAACAACAATAATAAGCGGTGTTGGACGCAGTGACGATGAGATGCGAGAGCTTTGACAGCCGAGACTGGTTAGAGCAGTGGTTCTTCTTCTTAACCCGGGGGGGCGAAATGCCATTTCGTAGCCAGACTTTTGTTTCTAGAAGGTAAATTATCTAAAACAGAAAATAAGTACGGCCACGTAAGTACAACTACTTTACTCTTCGTGGTTCTTTCGGTAAAGTCTCGTAGAAGGGAAATAATAAAATAATAAAACATAATAAAATAATTCTCACGACGTTTTGGCCACAACGCAAGCAGCCGTCCTCAGGTGAAGAACAGGTCTGTCGGAAAGACAACGTCTGACAGACCTGTTCTTCACCTGAGGACGGCTGCTTGCGTTGTGGCCGAAACGTCGTGAGAATTATTTTATAATGTTTTATTATTTTATTATTTTATTATTTCCCTTCTGCGTGACTTTACCGAAAGAGCCAAGAAGATGAATCCCTGCAGTCACGAAAGCTTTAAATCGAAATTTACGACACATTTATAAATAACGCGATCTAACCCATAATACTTTATTATGAATTGTACCACTACTTTGTTTCATCAAACCCTTTGCATTTATGAACAGTAAATGTTAAGAACCACTGCATTTACCCCTTCGTCAAAGGAATGAAACCATTGTCCAGTACGTACCTGAGCCGTGCAGGTGTCATGTTGGGAAAGTTTCACTTGTGTTTTTTTTACTACAAGTTTTTTGGAGGGTCACTCGGAATGTCACGCCTTCACCAGGGCTGTGGGGAGTTTTGACAACATTGGCAACGCAGCAGAACACCGGCGTTGTTTCTGTGAGTTTTTTTGTTGTTGTTAAATTCCTTCGCCTGTTATCAGACGACGCAGTTCCGTAAACCGGACTAACCACCTCTGACTCCTCGAGGACCGAAGCCCTCGTTAATGGCACGATCCCTTCATGCAACTTGGGAATTCTCCGCAAAGTGTCGTGTAAATGGCAACATCAACAGCTTACACCCCCCCATCCCCCTGTCTGCTGTTTGGCCACTCAGTGAGTGGCTAACCATTTGAGACGCTGTGTTTCCTAGCCCAACGGTAAGTGATAGAGGAAACTTATTAAGCCCCTCATTGGCCACCCTTTCTATGCAGGCATCTGTGAATATTTTGCGTAAGATATCGCGAGCGACAGCTGCTCGATGGCCCATGTAGCCGAATGCATTACCCTCCAACATCATCATCATCGGCAGCGGGATGATCAACAACACTGCCTTGTGGACAAATACATAAATACACACTTGGCAACAACACTATGGAGCTTCTTCATCCAAAACCAAGAGATAGAGACAAGAGTGGGAAGAAGCCTGCGACATATACAATAGAGGGTTGCCTTCCACCTGTCCTGATTTTCACAGAATCGTCCTCTAATTGAGGGCAGCTGCTGTCCTCGGAAACCTGAAAGTCTCCTGTGCTATTTTTTCGATTTAAAGCTTTCGTGACTGCAGGGATTCATCTTCTTGGTTCTTTCGGTAAATTCACGTAGAAGGGAAATAATAAAATAATAAAAATAAAACATAATAAAATACAATTCTCACGACGTTTTGGCCACAATGCAAGCAGCCGTCCTCAGGTGAAGAACAGGTCTGTCGGAAAGACAGCGTCTGAATGAACACCACCAAGCTTGGCAGCGTATATTTAAGCTGGGTTAGAGGAGGAGGGCGCCTTGACAAAGGTATTTGCATATCAACAGAGGAATTTAGCATATTTATGGAAAATGCAGATATGGGATTAGTCACTACTTGTGGAATATGTAGGTGGTGGGGGGGGGGTTCTCAAAGTCATACTGTGCTTGTCCAGGCGTCAATTGTCCAAGTGTCACTTGTCCAGGTGTCCTTTGTACTCTCGTTAGCGGTGCCTTTAGCCATGCATCCTCTGCTCCAAGGCAGCCGAGCAGCATTCTTTCTGTAAAAAAAAAACCCAACTCCAAGTGACAAATGAGGCTCCGCTTGCAGCACAAAGTTCTTGCCACAAATGAACCACACTATACTTGGATGATTTCGTCAAGAATCATAAACCATCACGCGAACTCCGGTCATCCTCACAGCGACTTTGTTCGATGGTTTGCCATGGGCAGCCATCGCGCGCTTTCAGATGCGCTTCTGCGGCCGTCTGGAATGCTCTTCCTTCCGAAATTAGGAATCCACTGGAGCTACGCACTTTTTAAAAAATAGAATCTTTTTTATTCCACATCCTCCCTCACATCGTAACATTGCAACATCCTAACATTCTGGACGGCATTACCAGTTGCATCGACGGTTTCAGGCATGCACACCTGACTCATCAGAGCAGGCAGGGATGGGAATTTTTTTAGAGGGTAGGGTGGGGGGGTTTGCCAGGTCATTGCCATTCTGGCCTCAGGTATTTAAGACTGTTCTAAGGTTTTAGGAATGGACCCCATGCACGTGCTGTATTCTTATTCCTTGTCCATGAGCGTATTGCTCAGATGCTCCAGTGCTGAGATTGGGCCTAATGAATACAACCGTTGAGTATGGGACGAGGGGGGGGGGGGTGGTTCGTGATTCTTCCACGGCTCAATGTGGGTTTTCTGGCTGCTATATTGAAATGTTCTGTTCAAAATGTTCTGTTCTCGATTCAGTCCCACTTCTCTTCGGTCCCACGGGGTAGTTTTCACGCGTATTGTTTTACAGACGTTCTGTTCATCGTATTGAATACCCCCATTATACATGTTCATAGAACTCGTCATCGTGTGTTACACCCGGAGGACACCTTGGGCATTCCGGAGATGAGGCTGCACCAAACGTGGCCCTCCTCTGATTGGCCACGTGGGCCCCGTGGGCCCCATGTAGAATGTTGAATTGGACAGTTCTCAGAGGGAGGGCTCTGACCCCTTGGGAGATGGGATTCCAAATCTGGGTCCATGTCTTGTTGGGGATTGGCCGTTTCACGATTTGCTCCCATATCGCTAGGGTCTGAGGTCGTCCACTATTCGTCCCTGAGAGCAGAAGCCGGTAAGCTTCAGATAGTTTGCATCTCCCTTCATCTCACTGGAGCTATTTTATTACTGCCGGAGGGAGTGTAATTAGATCTCTGGCTCTGGTGAACACGTCCCGAATCTGGAGGTATATATAAAACTGAGAATTTGGGAGGTTATTCCTGGATCTAATAGATATCTGCCAGGAGGTTCCCCGACTCTATGAATCTGGGCCGCTTTCCAATCGGACCATCTGATTCGCTTGTTTTCAACTCGCAGTGCCGGATTTGAGCTACGTGATTTTAAATCATCTCGATTGAAAACGAATTTCCTCACAACTGTTTTATTGTGTTGAATGTGTCGTCTTCCCGCATCCCCAATTAGCACGGTTGGCTACGTACGGTGCGAAAGAAGTTCAACATGCATTCACACTTACAAGCCGCCGTACGACTATCCCATGGTTGGTGGTGATGTTTTTTGTGTACGTGGCAGGGCACTGGTGTTCGTGAGTCACGGGCTGGGCGAGCACTGTGGCCGCTATGACGAGGTGGCCCGGATGCTGGTGCAACACAACGTGCTCGTGTTTGCCCACGACCACGGTGAGTGCATGCGGGCGGCAGCGCAACCGCACCGCCGCCCATCACGGGCCGGAGGGGCGCAAGCACCGGGCCCCAAAGGGGTTAGGATGCTGCAAGATATGGGGGAGGGGTGGGGGGGGGCATTATCATTTCTTGCACCAGGGCCCATGCCAACCACGCAGTGCCACCGAGTGCCTTCCATTCACAGTGGACGGATCGCTCGCAGATGTGGGGACGTGGAAGAGGTGTGGGACGAGCGGGTGCCAGTGGACAGGGCTCGTGTTCAGCATTCATAAAGCAGCGTCTTCTGTGCCGAGGAGCAGTGGCTGAGGGGAGCGGATGTGAGACAATTTTAGTTTAACGCGCGAACTTGCAGCGCCGCACTTCTGGAACAACCTCCCACGAAGCATTGCGATGGGCTCCACCACTGCATTCTAAGTCAAAACACATCTCTTTGCACTTGCGTCAAACTAACTCGCAGCCACAACTTGCCGTTGTTATTTTTTGTACATTTCCAACACCTATAAGCGGTATGGGTCTGTCGCTCTCGGCTGTAAACGATTGTCTATTTTTACGTTCACGAGTATTCATGTGACGGCGGATTTGGGTGGCAGATTCATGCCAAAAATGCGCCACGTGAAAGTAAAATTGACTTGACTTGTGACTGACACGGATTTGAATTCACACCTCGGCTTAGTTTAACACGTCGGCTTCCACGACCAATACATTACATTGCGATTTTGTGTGGAGTTAACCCTCTCGGCTATAGCGCCTCCACTGAGCGACACTGGCTTAATGTCAACTGCACATTGAATGTACGATCGATGTAAACGTAATGATAATAATCATTTACAGCGGCCATCTGTCTAAGCACCGCCGGATGAAGGCCTGTCCATGCCACGTCGACTGTGCTGTGGGGGGGGGGGTCGTTTGACCATACTTCACCACTCTGGTCAGTGCAGGACGGTGAATGGGGTGGGGAGGCCAGGGCTGGATCAGATATCATTCGCCACCGCTGATGTTAACCTTGGCAAGGAATTGCACTCGGGTGAAACTAATCTAAACTATTCTTGTTTTGATTTGAAGCTTTCGTGACTGCAGGAATCCATACTCTTTGGTTCTTTCTACCGAAAGAACCAAAGAGTATTTTTGTTTTACCAGGTAAGACCCACTGAGCTATGTAGCTCTTGGCCATCACAAGTGATAGCTCAACAAAGTTGGCTTATCACGTGGACATTTATCGCGGCCAAATAATCTAAAACACATGGTAGTCGGGTTCGGAGAGCAGTGTGCGAACCACTGCCCCACCACTCGATCAAAAAGTATGTATTACAAGGGAGACTTGAGTGTTCAAAGTAAGTCAGTTGGCTTCCACCTCCCGGTCTAACTTTAACTCTTGCCATCAGCCTTTCCCTTCCATGATTGGGCTCATCAGGGCATGCGGTACCAGTCCCTGATTTCTTGGCAGTGTGTGTAGAAGATTACAGTGTGGGATTGAAGATTATCCAAACATAGCATTGCCACCCACCATGCAAACTCTTACCCAACAGATCTTGTTCTGCGCTATTCGCTCACTGTCCATGAGCCAAAATGCATGCACCCAAAGATATTGATGCTGACTTGAGTGATAATGCCTTGAAGCCATTGGGCACGACAACTCAACACAATCCTCAATAAGACAGCTCTGAAAGGGAAATTACTTCATTGTGGCCTTGTGTGAGGCTAAAAGGCAGTGCCAGTGTGTGTCCATCGGCACATGTGTCCCTAAATTGCTTATTCCTCCTGGAAACACTGGGACAGAGACCAAGAGGCAGGCTTAGAAAAGTGTACACGGCTTAATTACTCACTCTGTTTTCAAGAACGCTCCTTGGCTGGCTTGAAGTAGGGATTGTTAGCATAAGGCACCACCACTACAGTGCAAAGTATGGCTTTCCATAAAAAAAAAATCCCTATATTATTGCCCCTTGTATTTATATAAACCTCTGAACAGGTTTATGGAAATATTGGACGAAAACAATGTCGTGATGGATGTGGCGTGCCAAAGTAATTCCCGTGACAGTGTTCTCGACTGTTCCAGCTGGCATTGGGTACTGTGCGTACTCTGCCGTGGAGGTTATTGTTGTTGTTGCTTTTGTTGTTGTTGTTGCTTTTGTTGTTGTTGTTGCTTTTGTTGTTGTTGTTGCTTTTGTTGTTGTTGCGCTGTGTCGCTCTCCGATGCGATTTCGGGTCGCACCGCGTGTTGTTCAGCACGATGTCCGACGTTTCGCTCCGCGCGCTGGGAACTTGCTGAGGTTGACGGAGTTTCCTTCCTTGATAACGGAGACATGCTTAAGAATCACCGCAGTGCCGGCCTGAAAGTGGGGTATTAGTTTGCCAGTATGGGGCAATGACTGCTGGCAAATTTGGACCATGCCACCGGTACACAATGGCCTACTGGTTTCGATTGATGTCAGGGCCTCTTTAACGTCACCAGAAGCAAATGGCGCGTAGTATTTTGTCCTTTCCCCACACCTCCAATGAGCACGGTTGGCTACGTGCGGTGCGAAAGAAATTCAACGTTAATACATTTGTACGCTTAAGTACACGCGTGGTAAAAAAAGAACCACGGTGGCTTTCTTGATTCGGCAAACACTCTCTGGCTGGGCCATGTCAGAGTCTGCATCTACTATATATGTGTGTGTGTGTGATTTGGTGTATGCCTGTATAACCAGCAAAACAGACTCCAGCATCCTCATTGCCCAAAGATGGAATTATTTGTGGTTGTGGGCGAAGCTTTTAAAGAAAATGCTGGCATTAGCTCAGCGTACTTCCTTGCCAAGTTCACATTTCACCACAGTAGCAAGCGAGGTGTGCGGTCTGAACCTTTAGTAACCCCCACCAAAAAAAAAATCGAATTACCAAAGACGGATAATGAAGCTGGCTGGGTGCCTTGGCAGTCGAGCGAGTGGCTCGCTCTTGGGTGCAAACAGAAGGGACGTGAGCAGGTCTCATGAAATCAGAATATGAATACTCCTCTTCTTGGTTCTTTTGGTAAAGTCACGTAGAAGGAAAATAATAAAAATAAAACTTTATAAAATAATTCTCACGACGTTTCGGCCACAATGCAAGCAGCCGTCCTCAGGTGAAGACCAGGTCTGTCATTCAGACGCTGTCTCCCCGACAGACCTGTTCTTCACCTGAGGACGGCTGCTTGCGTTATGGCCGAAACGTCGTGAGAATTATTTTATTATGTTTTATTTTTATTATTTTATTATTTTCCTTCTACGTGACTTTGCCGAAAGAACCAAGAAGATGAATCACTGCGGTCACGAAAGCTTTAAATCGAAAAAATATGTATACTCTTTGGTTCTTTCGGTAAAGTCACGTAGGTAGAAAAATAAATGAAATAAAACAAAAAATTATAAATCACGACGTTTCGATCGCAACACAAGCGGTCGTCCTCAGGCGGAAAAAATCATCCAGCAGTGACTTTACCGAAAGAACCAAAGAGTATGGATTCCTGCAGTCACGAAAGCTTCAAATTAAGACAGAATATGTAGAGCTTAACCCCCCCCTCCCCTTCGCACGTGTAGGACTCAGAAGTGACGTCCTCTATTTAAGGAATGAAACAGAAGGACTTCTTCACAAATCTGGCTGTTCGCCTGATGAAGCTAGTTGTAATTACTGGCGAAACGTCATACTCAGATTATTAATGTTGTGGATTTTCTCTCCAACACACCGGTGTGCTGTACTAGTAACGAATTGCCATGTTCTGTTTTACGTGACAAACCTTACTAGTTGGCTGTGTTGGTTGGTGGCGCGTTTAACGAGACATTTATATATTTAAGCGATCTAACCAAAAAAAAAACATATATTATGGAGAATATTTGTACCTGGAGTAATCCGATGAGCTGAAAAAACTATTTTTTTATCGCAGTGTATCCAATACGACGTAAACCGGACCTGAGTACCACCTCAACGCTCATTTGAGCAGGAAAATTACTTCGATTTTTTTCTTTTTTACAAAGAGGTTGCCAATCACAAGTCAAGCCCACGGAGGTGGCCGCAAGTGGCCGTCAAGGACATCCCCTTGCCCACAATTCCGCGTGGTGGCTCCAGGAAACTTAAACTCCCCCCTGCCCTCTCATCGGGCAGCCTCGACTGGGCAATCCACCCGGGTTAATTTTGGAAAGTCGCGTAGGTAAAAAATAAAAATTAATAAAAGTAAAATAAAAATAAAGTAAGATACAGCTATCGTGCTGTGAAGGTTCCACCTGAAGACGGAAGCTTGTGTTGCCTCCGAAATGTCGTGATTTTTATTTTATTTTTATTTTACTTTTATTAATTTTAATTTTCTACCTACGTGACTTTACCGAACAACCCTAAGAATATGAATCCTTGCAGTCACGAAAGCTTCAAATCTAGAATTTATTTTGGAACTCGGGAGACAAAGTTGACCGGGGGTGGGGGGGGATGGGAGGGAGATGGTTCTGGGGGAAGGTGACACACTCCTCCCGGCTCGTGTGACGGCTGTGTGCAGCACCTGCCCCGTCAGCAGAGGTCGCAACCGGGTACCCGATACCCGTACCCTACCCGATACCCAGCTACCCGTACCCGGCTGGGTACGGGTACCCGTTTGCGACCCTGGTGCGGCCGGGTACGGGTACGGGTAGGCCGTGAGTCACTGGTGAGTAACTGTTTGTCACTCATTTCCCAACGTCTTGTCTCTTCTCACAATTCAAGTTCCTAGAATCAACCCACCCGCGCCTGCAACATGGCTTCATCCCAGAGGTCGCAACCGGGTACCCGATACCCGTACCCTACCCGATACCCAGCTACCCGTACCCGGCTGGGTACGGGTACCCGTTTGCGACCCTGGTGCGGCCGGGTACGGGTACGGGTAGGCCGTGAGTCACTGGTGAGTAACTGTTTGTCACTCATTTCCCAACGTCTTGTCTCTTCTCACAATTCAAGTTCCTAGAATCAACCCACCCGCGTCTGCAACATGGCTTCATCCCAGAGGTCGCAATCAGGTACCCGTACCCGTACCCTACCGTACGGGTAGGGTACGGGTACGGCCGGGTACGGGTACCCGTTTGCGACCCTGGTGCGGCCGGGTACGGGTAAGGAATCAAAACCCGTTTGCGACCTCTGCCCGTCAGCCCGTGCGGACGTCTCGAGGAGTCTTCGATGTGCAGGTTTCCCTCGCTCCGTGCGGTAGTGGTAGCGGATGCGTTCAGGAGAAACCGGGCGCGCTAAGCGAGACCGTACGAGGCAGCTGCCGGCAGAGTAGCATGCACAGCACACACAATGTTTTATCACTGTATCTTTATGTGTATGTAATTGTGTGTGTCTCTCTTGATGTATCTCTGTATGTATCTGTGTGTACATATTTATCTATGTGTATGTGTCTGGGTGTATCTCTCTATGTATCTGTGTATGTATCTGTGTATCTCTCTATGTATCTCTGTATCTTTATGTGTGTGAATCTGTATCTATATATCTGTGTGTTTCTCTGTATGTATGTATCTCTATGCATGTGTGTATCTCTTTTTCTGTGTATCTCTCTGTATCTCTGTGTGTGAATCTGTATCTATGTATCTGTGTATGTATCTGCGTGTATCTCTCTGTGAAGCAGCTGCCCGCCGAGTAGAGCATGTAGTACACACGCAATGTTGTATCTCTACATGTATCTATGTATCTCTGTGTGTATCTGTACCGAGTACATTCCACACAACGTTGCTCCACGTCTGACTGCATCGCTGCGCATGAGTGAATTAAACCCGCATAGAACGAATGTTGGCGAGAAATAGGCTAACCGTGTATACGTGAAATCGCATAAAACCGAACCCGCGTAAAGTGAGGGACACCTGTATTTGTTTTGTGGGTCACTCCTAGGTAGACCCAGCCTTAAATGAGTATCTTGTGCAGTGTGTAAACATCAGCACTCGGGAGATGAAGGAGATCAAGGTGCGTGCCATTCATCATGCTCCACGTCAACACACACCACGCAAGAACGTTGCTCCCAGTCTAAATGATAAACACGTCAATCACGGAGAAATGAATGTGTTTTTTTTGTACACATTTTTTTGTGTTATCCTGCATTGGCGGCAGTGTATGCGTGGGCACAAATAACGTGAACTGAGCACATTCATCAATTAAACGGCACTAACATTAAAACATCTATATGACAATAAAATGCAGAAGACGTTTCAGGCAATGACCCTTCATCATAGAAGTCTGCATGTTCTACATTTGAAGTGTTTGTGACTGCAAGGGCCTATACTCTTTGTTTTTTTCGGTAAAGTCACGTAGGTAAAAAGTAAAATAAAAATAAAATAAATCACGACGTTTCGGAGGCAACACAAGCTTCCGTCTTCAGGTGGCACCGTCGCAGCAAAATCACCTACGTGACTTTACCGAAAAAGCCAAAGAGTACAGTCTGCACGTGTCTGCTACGAAGACCCATCGTCTAAAACGTCTACATCTGTTATAAAGTGGGGCTAATGCCTGCAACGTCGCCTGTCAATTGTTTTTGTTCGACGAGTGCAGCGCTGCTATTATCATCGCGACTCTTCGTTTTTTTGGGGGGGCTCTTTGTCCCGTTCGCGTGCGCCGCCTCTGACCGCGGTTTCGCCGCTCGCGTGTCGCTCCGCAGTTGGCCACGGGAGGAGCGAGGGCGAGCGAGTGTCCGAGGCTCGGCTCGGCGTCTACGTCCGCGACTGCCTTCAGCACGTGAGGCTCGCGAGGACGAAACACCCGGAGCGGCCATGCTTTCTGCTCGGCCACTCGATGGCAAGTCCGACCATCGGGCACACGCGCACAAGGCAGAGGTTCCCCCCACCACCCCACCCGTACAGCCTGGACAGACCTTTTTGGGGGGGGCTCATATTCTTGGTTCCTTCGGTAAAGTCACGTAGAAGAGAAATAATAAAATAATAAAAATAAACAATAAAATTATCATGACGTTTAGATTGCAACACAAGCAATCATCATCAGGTGTGAAAAACACAGCAACTTTTTTCTAATTTTATTGCCGTGGTTTTCACACCTGATGATGATTGCTTGTGTTGCAATCGAATCGTCGTGAGAATTTCTTAGAATTTTTATTATTTTATTATTTCCCTTCTACGTGACTTTACAGAAAGAACCCAGAATATGAATCCCTGCAGTCACGAAAGCTTAAAATCGAAATTTTTGGGGGCTGTTAAGAGAGCAACACGTCTGAAATCTGGCACGGCGGCACGCGAGCAGAACCGCGACAAACTCCGTCGTCGAACATCGTGAGCAACGGTGCGCTGGGTGGATCATTACATCATCGCGCGGCTCCTTGGGAATCCCTGCATCCAGCAGCTGATAGATCGTGGCTTGTGTTGTTGATGATGATGATGACGGTGATGATGAGCCGTGCCGTGTGGTGGTGGTGGCGGCCGTGGCGAGCAAGGCGACTGCTTGGCCACTCGTTCATCCAGCAGTGGATGGACCATGGCTGATATTAATGACGATGGCGGTGATGATGAGCCGTGCTGTGTGGTGGTGAGCAGGGCGGCGCCGTGGCCATCGCGGCTGCGAGCGAATGCCCGGACGACTTTGCGGGAGTCATCCTCATCGCCCCGCTCGTCACCCTGAGCCCGTCCGTCACGTCGCCCACGTTGGTGAGAGCCGGCGACTCGTCAGTCCCTCGTCTCGAGGTCTCACGTGGTCAAATTAAAATAAACTTGAGACTTGCCGACAACACTCTACTCAATTCCCACAGTTGTTGTCTGGGAAATAAAATACGAATAAGTCCCACGTGTTTCACATACTTGCCGCAGACATTCCTGGCCACTTGTACAGTTGAATGTTTTCCGCTCATAATTGCTCTTCGTTGAAAGCTCATACAGATATACTCATACAGATATACGCACTATATATTCGTCACTAATAACACCGCTCTGTAGAGGAAAAAATATGTATACGTTAACACGCGACGTTTCAGGCAGTGGTCCTGTTTACGTAATCATGTGGAAACCGTGACCGATGCCGTGGATTGTATTATAATTCTGTGCAATAATCTTTTCTCTTTTTCTTTGTCCCAAGATGTATATGGCCCGAATTATGAATTCCATGTGGCCCAGATGTCCTGTTGGCTCTGTGAACACAGCCTGGTTGAGCAGAGATTCCAACGAGGTAAGACAATGATGACTCTTTAAAACACTTACAGCCCTTTTTTAAATCCTTTATATTAAGTTCGCTTGCTTGCTTAGGACCGTGCAAATCTTTCGGTCGTTATTTAACCCACTTCCCGTGATCCAATCGAGCTGACATTTTCCACACAGACTCGTTGTGCGTGAAAATTAATGTTCGTGAATTTTTTTTTCAAAAATTTATCATTTTTTAGGACAAAAATATTATATTTAATTACCAATTCCTTAATGGTGTAATGCAATCATCTGACCCATAGGTGGCAGCCATCTCAAGCCAGAGGACGAGAGGACTCTAGCCGCCACGCATATAAAGGATTTATAGTGAAAAACTTTGTTTTTACAGGTTATACTTATTATACTTTTATTGAACTTGACCTACTGTCCGTTTGTAATCTTCCAGTTGGACGAGGGCCACCGTCCAGCCTTGCGGATTGTGGGAGTTACGTCAAATACCTAAAACAAAACACACCTGGCAGACGCGAGTATGGACTAACCCACCGGGTTGGGTTCCTTCCCCTGCACCACCACCACCACCACCCTCCTCAGGTGCAGGCGTACGAATCTGACCCGTTCGTCCATCACGGCCGAGTCAGCGTGGCCATGGGGCTGGGCCTCTCGGAGACGTCGGCGCGCGTCCGTTGGCTCGCCCCGTCGGTCCGCTGGCCGTTCCTGCTGCTGCAGGGCGGTGTCGACCGCCTGTGCGACCCCGAGGGAGCCCGGCTCTTCTACGACCTCGCACCCAGCCAGGACAAGACACTCCGGGTACGACGGGCAGCGCGGGATACCTCGGCTCGGGCGAAACGCGGCTTTATTAAAATCGCGCTGGTTCCCGCTGGCGAATAGTTTCCGAAGGTTTTGTTTTGGACGTCTTGTCGTTGACGATGCATCTCACGTCTGCAGAAGCTCATCCCTCCCGTGCGCGCTCTCTCTCCCGTTCACCGTCTCTTCTGCCCAACTGCTGCCGTAACCCCTGAATCCTCCATGCACGCATTAACATCGTCTAATACAGCGTGCTCCTCTACGGCGCACCACCACCACCAAATCCCTCCTCTCCAAACTCCAGACCATCCAAAAAATGCCACAGCTAGACTTCTCAGCAGCACCTGTAAACAAGACCCCATCACCCCAATACTTCGGGTCTCTCCACTTGGACAGCTAGCTCAGAAAGACGACGATCCTGGAAATACCAGGTCAGGTGGCTACTCTGTTCCGGTGTGGGGTGCTACGTTTGCATAATTGCCTATTTCCCTTTTCTTTGTTGCGATGTCACGTGCCAGTGGTACCAGGACGCCTATCACGTCCTCCACAAGGAGCTACCGGAGGTGAAGGAGGCCGTCCTGAAGGAAATTGAAAGCTGGGTGCTCGCTCGTCTGCCTTCCCTGCCTTCCTAGCTCGCTGCTGCGCGAGTGTACATATGTATAATTTCACTCGCACCGTACGTAACCAACCGTGCCTATCGGGATGTTCTGGGGAAGGACAAACTAAAGACATAACGCAGTTCTAAAGAAATTAGTTTTCAGTCTAGATTATTTTAAAGTGCATAGCTCCAGTGGCTTATTAATATCGGAAGAAAAACGTTCCAGACGGCCGCAGCAGCACACCCATGCAGTGACCGTCTTCGTTCGATGGCCAACCAAACATGGCGAGGGTGGGGACAGCTCGTCTCTGTACAGCTGTTGGAAGCAGGCCTGAGCCATGCTGGAACAATTCTAAGAAACTCCACTTGGCTCATTTCTTGTCGTCGCATTGAAAGGACTCAGCCCCTCTACCCCCCAGTCCCCAGGCCCATCCACTCCTCACCTACAACCCATAACTGGTGGGAAACTACATTGGGTTTTGTGTACAATACTTAAAATTTACAGTACTAGAGTTAGCTTATACAACCCTGAACTAACAAGTATTATTTTAAGTTAATAAAGAAAAGATGGCAATGATCACTCAACTCCCGTTTCTGGGTTGACTCTGCTGTGTTCGAGCACGGTCCACGTGGGAGAGAGGCCGCAACGGGTCCGTGTGGTAACCCCGACTCATACGGCTGCTTGTGGGAATGCGGGCAAAGCCTCACACTTCACCGCAGGAGGAAAGCCACAATGGCAAAGTTGCACTACAGTGGGGGAAAAAAAAAGACTGCTATCACCTCCGATTGTAGCACGGTTGGCTACGTACGGTTTCGAAAGAAGTTCAACGTTCATATGTACATCAAGATTTGATTTTTTTGGGGCCCAGATAGTGCAAGCGATGAGATTTGTTGGCAGCACAACAAAACAATGGATGGGAAATATGGGGTTGAGGGGGATGGGGAGGTTATTCGGGCTGCCGATGCAAGAACCACACTATTTTTCAGGGCCAGAGGAATTTCACAACACATCACAGCAACGTAGACATCACGGCACAGTACCTGTAAGTGCTGGGCAGTTTACCGGTGGGTTTAAATGATACGTGCCACCCGAAGCCAATTAAGGGATAGTGATTATCGTATTACTCTGCCAGTGTCAACTACACCCACTGGTCTTCCCACATCCAAGCCCCGTGTGCCTGGCTTGCTCAACGCAGAAAACAAAAAACTTGGCACATTTTCTCAATAACGCATCTCTAAAAGGGAACACATTTATAACAGTGACATCACAGAGTCACGTGTTAAATGTGCCGAGTTTACAAGGTAGTGCCTTTTCCACCATTGCCGATAAATGTTTGTGACATTTAGAAAAGGGACTGCGGTTTTAGTTTTAAATATCCTATCTATGCCTACATTTCGGTAAACCGGCAATTAAACGTAAACACTAAAACATGTTTTTTTTGTCATTTTAATGACACACATCTTATATGTATACATTATTCAATGTACTGAGTGTTTAAAATCGCTGGCGACTGTACAATAATAATGCTGGCTAGCACCGATGCTTTCAGTCAGTGAAAGTTAAATAAAATTAGACAAACTGCAGTACACACGTGCTCAGAGGTTGAGGAAAATTAGCGTGTGCTTAGCAAAGTGGTAGTAGTAGTAATCACCAGAGTAACAAAATACTGCGTCACTTTAGTAACTCGGAGGAATTATTAATGCATCACTACACATCAAAATATATATTTGTATATCTCCATACAAAGACATAAATCACAGTGCCCCCTCCGTGTTTAATCATTCAACATGCAGATGAGAAAAGTCATGCTCTCCACTGGGTTAACACTACCAGGGTCAACACCTCTCAGACCACATATAAATGCACTTCTAAATCCATTCTGAAAGCTGATATAAACCCAAAATTGTTGCACATTCAAGGGTTTGGCTTGTAGTTATTGCTTATAAATCCCAATTCGGTTGTAAATAATTGGAATATTAGTACTGTGTTAACTTGACCGTATATGATGCATACATAATACATTCAACTTAGAAATGTACAAATTGGAAGGAAGATTTAATTGTGCTGGGCTTCCCCTCCCAATGCTTTAAAAGGGGTTCCAATTTGTGAAGGAAATCAATTATGCTTGTAAACCAACCCCTTTCGAAAGTCGTTCACAAAAAAGTCACGCACAACTGAAATGGTATGCGAATGCTACGGTGTTGTATGCGTAAGCATGCCAACTGCCCTTACTGATGTGAACGTGCGAAACATGTCGGCAACACTATTTCATTGAAGGGCAACATCTGGAAATGATAATACATTCATATGGCATGCAAATAATATTTAAGTACAATAATTCTTGCCATGTATTTAAGTATTACAGCTTTTAACTGACTTTTCACAATGGGTTACCACTGCTCTTATTCTGCAGATTGTTTTTCTCCAAATAGATTTTTTCTGACAAAGTAATGCACTTTATACAACTGCATTGCAATAGCGAATTGCATCTAAAATACACCACAATCCACTGAAAATGGCACCTCTTATAAATAAGTAGGGATCCATTCATCAAATGCACAAATATCCATATATAAAAGTGCTCACCTCTTGAAGTCCATCTGGCCCGTCTCAAGACAGACGTACAAAAAAAACTACCGACATAACCAGATGTCTTCGGTACATTCAAATGCCCAATATACTGAATCCATGGCAGTTTATACCGAACGACATGCACAGCCTTTCAAATGAAAAAATATAAATTGAAACACCGGTTTCTTGCTCTTTTTTCATTTCATGAAAAAGATTCAAATCGACGCTATGACGGCAGTGGCGTGGGACAACACCCAGCGGGCCATTATAATAATGCATGAAATTAAGCAGCTCCATACAACACAGTTGAAATTCGGTGCCAATGAAGCGAGGGACGCCCGTGCCCATCACACGAACTAAGCCGGGCGATTGCAATCGAAAACCACAATTGGGGCAACACCAAGCACTAAAAACCCATTAGAATGCCCAGGCCCCATGAACACGAGTTGCTTTCTATACAGCAGCAATGAGCCGTTGAAGCCGAGGCTGCACCTTTCGTCCAGAGTTTGAGAGTTACTGCCATGGCGTAGAGCCATCTCCGCTCATCTTCTGAGCATTTTTCCCCATGGGAGTGTTAAGTTCACGGGCACCGTTTTTGGTTGATGCTTGCCACAATGCCTGGGTTGTGGACCCAGACCAGATATTGATATTGGTCGCTCTCACCTGCACCAATTAATTTTTTTTGGTCAATAACAATACACTAGGTGACACCCTTTGCCCATCAGCAGGTCACAAATATAATTCAGTTTTATTGGCCATGTAAAGAGACTGATAGCACTAATATTTTTCCACCTCGGGTGGTATGCAATTGTTTTTTGCGGCCTATGGACGAACAATTCAAAATCGGCATTACGTAAAGGACGGAACCGTGAGCCGTCAGGTGAATTGAATAACGATTTAAAATTAAGTGACAGGGAAAACGCGAGGTTGAACCTGGTGGCCTGGCTAACAGGATCTTGCCTACAGACGCATCGTCTTCCACACGATCACGAGGTGACACAACAACACGGCCGACGGCTACGGAAGCACCGGCTGAACGTCAGCATTTAGACGCGTCGTCACCTACACCTCTGAATTACCAGCGGTTAAAAGGCTCGGGTCGCACGTATCTGGCGTGTCCTGCCCGACGGCTGCTGTACGCATTCAAACGACGCGACGTACCGTGCGTGCTGTTATGTTAAGCTGTGCGGGGGAGAACACATGAAGCGCATGCAAATGGCAAGGTAACGATGCCGCCCTAAAGCTTCAGGGCAAATCGTGCGACTTTTCTGTAACGATGTCACTTGCAACAATGTTGGTTCTGGATTGCCTCCGCTTAACTGGGAAAATACAAGTCGCCACTTTGCGCTCTAAAAAAGTTTAGTTCAAATGTTTATAAGGAAAACTGCCGTTGTTCGTCCAAATATGAATCTAAATAAAGGGCGCTTAAAAAATGTTAAAACTTATGTTTTTAAAGGAAAAATAACGGATAATACACTGTAATATAACGAATGTATGTTAATAGCTTCAGTAAGTCAAAGTCTACACTTCAGTTTAACACGTAGGCTTTTGCGACCAATATTCATAATCAACGTTTTTGGGTTAGATCGCGTTATTTATAAATGTGTCGTAACCCTCCACCACCCGACACGGCCAATCAGCAAATAACACAATAGTTCACTACTTTAAACCACCGGTGTGTTGAAACGTCGTACTCAAAAATTGTAAATGTTGTGGTTTCATGCTTCAACACACCGGTGGGCTAAAGCAGTTAACTATTTGAAATTTTGTCAACGTGACACTTTTTTACTGATTGGCCGTGTCGGGTGGTGGAGGGTTACGACACATTTATAAATAACGCGATCTAACCCAAAAACGTTGATTATGAAAGTCGACACTTGTTCGCCATCATTGTCAACACAATGCCTGGAATCTTCTCCAGTTTGGTCTGCAGAGCATGGAGTCACATTTCTAGTGGTATTATTGAAAATTCTCAGAAGAGTTAACATTTTTTTGAAGCAGCCTGTATATATTTAGTCCACTGGCCTCTATTGGCTTTCCAGACGAATATTTTCCAGAAGCATTTGTTTAAGCAAGATGGTTATGACCTTCAGGGTTTCATCAGCACAGTCAGGCTCTTTAAACAGATGCAACTGAATGACCAAATATTATAGGCAAGAGCACCTGTATGCAAAATTTTGTTCCGTCGTTAAATGTGTGTTCAACAGCACTTGAATGAGATCACATGGGTAACTAAAGCAATATGAAGACACGTTAACTTATGGATTTAGTTTTCAGCGTGAAGGCATGGAGATGTCTAATAAAGAACACTTGATTAATCTGTTTTCAGGAAGGTGATCCACACCCTCAACTTGATTATATTAAACATAATATTTTGCCTATACTTATTTCACCAAGATTAGTTTTTGTTAACAAACCATTTATCCCAGCTTATAAGATGTTCTCAAAGGATGCCACCCACGTTTGATTTAGCAGAGGGAAGAGGTGTGTTTTACAATCTGGAAAATACAGGCATCGATAGGTTCAGCAGACATGTCCTTGCCTCGATTCCTGCCCAGCTCAAGTGAACTCCTTAGGCAGGGAAATCCAGGCAAGAGTGTTGGGCAAGGGGAGTTGTGCCCGAGGCCTTGCTAGCCTCTACCGTATTACCGATGCAAAGACACGGGGACCTGCGATTGACTGCAATGTCTCTCGGTCACACGCTCCTGTATTTCCAAACACAAGCGATGAAGAGGTGCGGTGGGCACTCGACACGGGACGCTGCGCAACCATGAAGAGGCGCGACAAAAATAAGTTGCATGCAGGAAAGTTGCGCCGTTTAGCTTTAGCAGGAGGCCAGTTTCTGCTATGCACAAGAGCCGAGCGTCATCCGTTCAGCCTTCAACCTTTGCCGACACGAGGTGGGGCCCTTCCTCCTTCTCGTCCTCCTCATCCTCCCTCCTTGACATCTCGGTGGGTGGGTGGGGGGGGGGGCGTCTTAGCACTCGATACCGAGCCGCGCGAGCAGCGCGTCGAGCGCCGCCAGCTTCTGGTTGGCCTCCTCCATGGCGCTGAAGGTCTGCACGCTGGACGTCACGTGGAAGCGGATGTCGTCCACCAGGGGGATGGAGTCCGTCTCCTGCCGCTCCTCCACCGCCTCGGCGTCCACCTTCACCGTCTCGGCAAACTCCTCCGACTCCACGAGCTGCGGGGGAACGGGCGGGCGGGTTCGCAGACAACGCGCTAAGACCTCACTTGGCATCTCATCGTCGAACGTCATCAACTAAACTATTTTTTTTATTTTTTCAGGTAAGGTCCAACGAGCTGTATAGCCCTTTTTTCCAGAAGCGACCTGGCCACAAATGATCGCTCCACTTAGTGGCTTATTACGTGAAAATTTATGGCAACCAAATACTCTAAAGGCGTATTTCTAAATGTGGAGGGAAAAATTGGAGCACCCAGAGAAAAATCCAAACGACCACAGGGAGAACATGCAAACTCAAAATATTCAGGCGTCGGTCGGGATCGAACCCACGAGCTCCTGCATACCAGGCGAGGGAATTAACATCTCGCCACTGTGGCACCTCCATCATCAACAGCAACCATGATCCATCCACTGCTATATGAAGGCCAGAGCGTGTGGGCAAACAGCATTAATAGCCAATGTGCCAACACTGAACCTGACACATACATTATCAGGGGCAACCATGATATCCATCCACTGCTATATGAAGGTCAGAGCGTGCGGGCAAACAGCATTAATAGCCAATGTGCCAACACTGAACCTGACACATACATTATCAGGGGCAGCCATGATCTATCCACTGCTCCATGAATGCCAAAAGGTGAATGGTAGCGAGTCAACGTTACAACACTGTACCCGGCATCAAATGGCTGCGGTAATCATCACCCACAGTTAAAAATCAAGAAATCAGTCGCACAGTAACACATACAGTCACAAACACACATAGGCAGGCTACAGTCAACTCAAAGACAAACACAAAATACAGTCACTCATACAATCATATACACAGATAACCAGTGTGAAGTCTACCAACAACCACAGCTGCCAAGCGAGGTGCACTCAGAGGCCATGAAAAATGCCAAAGGCTCGCAGGCAGGTCGTGGAACAGACCCAGGAGAAATGGGTTCACCAAGGCGACTGGCAAGGGGCATCACCTCTGTCAACGTGCCACATTTAGCTTCCTGGTGCTCTGCTCACATTAACAACAACAAATACAAAGGTCTCCCATATAGCCTTAAGAGACTGTTGGGGCAAGTGCTGTTAGTGAGCACATTTGAAGGTCGTCATGGCACACGAGGGGGTGGGTGACCAGCAATACGCTCGCCCACCTTTGCCTCTCTAGTGGCGGTGTTTACACACTGCACCAGGTACTCATGAGGCCGAGTCGACCTAGGGGAGGCCCAAAACCGGTTCTGATAATCGTCACTGGTGTTGGCCGTGAGCAGGAAACGAACCCGGGTCGCCGGGTTTGCAGTGCAGCGCGCTAACCGCTACACTACCACTCCCCGCACTGACAACCACACACACTCACAGCCCACAGTGGCAACTGGCAGCTTGCCTTGTCCAGGATCCTGGCCATGAACTTTGTGCACTGGTCCTCGAGGCGCGGTAATGAGAACAGCTTGGCCATCCTCCACATGACCAGGACATTGTCCTCTCCCAGACTGTGAGCTAGCACCTTGCCACACAGCCGCTTGAGACCCGGCAGCAGGTACATGTCGGCCACGGGCAGCATCTCGCATGCTTCCTCGCTCGACAGCTGCAGTGTGTGTGTGCGATTGCAAACGTGCGTGTGCGTGTGGTTGTGTGGGTACAGGGAACAGTGGCGCAGTGGTTAGTGCACAGCCAATGTCTGTGTTTGATTGCAAGTCATGCACAGCGTAAACAATGCCGCGTGGTATCAAAACCTGTTCAGGGTTTCCTCTCGGTGGACTCAGGTCAGAAAGAGTATCTACACTTGTGAGTGTTGTTTTTATTTTTACGTACAGTGCCATGGTGTTGAGATGTTTTTTATTTTTACGTACAGTCCCATGGTGGTGAGATGTTCACTACCTCGCCTGGTATACTGGAGGTCGTGGGTTCAATCCCGACCCTGACGCCTGTATTTTTGGAGCTTGCATGTCTCTCCCCGTGGTCGTGTGTATTTTTCTCCGGGTCCTCCGGTTTTTCCCTCCACATTTAGAAACATTCGTTTAGAGCGTTTGTCTGCTGTGAATTTACACGCAATAAGCCACTTCGTTGAGCTATGTGTGCCTAGGTCGCTTCCGAAAAAGCTACACAGCTCAGTGGGCCTTACCTGGTAAAATAAAAATAGTTTCGTTTGATAAAACAAGAGATTATTGCTATTATCTGGCATGGTGTTTTATCTGGCCAAAATAAAACTTGAGAGCAGCAATTCTCAACAATGAAGCCCATGCTGGGAACCGCACTTGCTATTGCTGACATTCTCCCCTGTAGATTGTAAATGTTGCGGATTTGCTCTACAACACACAACCGGTGTGCTGTACTAGTAACCAATTGGCATGTTCTGTTTACGTGACAAACCTTACTAATTGGCCGTGTCGGGTGGTGGCGGGTTTAACGACACGTTTATATTTACGCGATCTAACCCAAAAAACCTTTATTATGGATGATATTGGTCGCGAAAGACTACTACGTGTTAAACTTCAGCAGAAGAGCCTACTGAGCCCTGAATGTTTTTCATGGCCCAGATCCCCTTGAAACAATTGACTAGAGCACGCTCATGGACACTAAAGAGTGTGTAAGTATTATTAGTAATAATAGTAACATCACAAACCCCATTATTACGCTAAATAGCTATGAACACTTATAACTAATAAAGATGCAAAAGTCTGTCTCTCTACATACTAATAAAACAACAAGTCCATCTGCCTATGGGCCCTCTGGACCAGCTACTTCGTTGAAGTAGGCAAACTCTGGACCAGTTTGACTTTCAGAGTCTCATCGACAGAGTCGGGCCCGTCAAACACCGCTGGGTTGCCAGAGATTACAGGCAAGGGCACTTCATGGAAACTTTGCGGACCGTTCAACAGCATCAAAAAACTCAACAATAATTGTGTGCTGCGGTGGAGTATTGTGGGTAGCAAATACGCAAAAGTACGTGTCTGTAAAAATAAAACACGTCAAGTTTCAGTGCAATCATTACTGAAAAGCCACCTGCCTGCATCATACAACAACAAAGTAAACCAATGCGTTTGGCGACATCTGGTGGAAGAGATCCTCAACAGCATTATTGGTCATTGGCTTTCGATTTAAAGCTTTCGTGACTGCAGGGATTCATCTTCTTGGTTCTTTCGGTAAAGTCACGTAGAAGGGAAGTAATAAAATAATAAAAATAAAACATAAACGTCGTGAGAATTGTTTTATTATGTTTTATTTTTATTATTTTATTACTTCCCTTCTACGTGACTTTACCGAAAGAACCAAGAAGATGGTCATTGGCTGTTTAGAGTTCAGGCTCTGTTGTTGTTTGCAGCCTTTAACTTTCACTTATAGGAAAAGGCCTCTCCCAATGTTCTTCGATTCCTCAAAATAGACCGCTCTATAAAACAATTGGCTTATTCCTTATCCCCCCACACTGGCCAGACGTCTTGCAAGAGGTGGGGGGACCCACACTTTACCCGTCGATCGACTGGTGTACCCGTTGGGTGGACAAAGGTGGGGGGGGGGGGGGGAATTTAATCACTTTCAGCATGGTTTCAACTTCCGTGTCGAGAGATGGAATCGAACCTCTGGATTTCAAGTTCAGTGTGCTGACCGTTTACTCCGCGGCATCTGGCGAGGAAATCCTATCACTGACAAGACTTGGTTAATACGATTAATTATCCACCCTTTTCCAGAGCACTTCTCTCATCTGCACGGAGGCCTGACTACTGCCACAACTGAACCCCTGTATTGCAAGTCCAACGTGCTCATCCGATGCACTACGGTAGCGTCCCTTAAGACGCTCGAGCGGTTTTTAATCGCATCGTACCATGCGGGATCATTGGGGGGCGTGGGGGGGCGGGAGGGAATTTACGGCGCAAGATTGCGGAGGTCACCTCGGCCATGTCACTGTAGATGTAGTAGAGGATGGTGCTGAACATCTCAAGGGAGATGTTGTGCAGCTTCACCACGCACACGCTCGGCTCTGTCTGCAGCTCGCTCGCCTCACTGAAGTGGTCTTCCAGCAACGCCTTGAAGTAGTCGCTCCGACCACAGAAGAACAACTGGCGGTCGAATAATCGTGTAAAGGGGGGGGGGGGAAATTATGTAAACATTAATGTGCATGCAATATTCACCATCATTTACGATTTTGTACGAGACCCTGAGAGTTAAGGTTTGGTTGTCAGCAATCTCTTGCCTACAGGATATAACGTACTACCTTCCGTGACACAGGGCGGTGGCATGACCGGGTGGGAGTGCACAACGCTGCCCATTCCAGAGGATCACGGTTTGATTATAGCGGCCACTCAGATTAATATTGCGCGTATAAACCTAAAAAAAGGCCATACGCGCTATAAACTTCAGACCGGACATAAAAGATCACGTAACATCATTCGCAAAGGTAGACCATTGTGTGTTGGTGTCATTGTCCAAATTTGCCAAATGTAAAACACAACCTGCCACTTCACGGACTACTGTGAAAACTTTACAGGACCCTCCTGCAAAAGTCATGAGACTCATTGTGGCTTTCCTGGGTAAACAAGCATCAAAATAAAAATACAAATAGTTAACATGCATATTCATTCATGAAAAGTATAAAACATAATCTGAAAATGCACAAAGAAGCGTGGAGACGTGCACACTTCAAATTACGTTGAGAGACAGATCGAGGAACGTATAGATTCGAGAACAGGTGTCGGGATAGCACGATCTCACCTTGTGACACAGAAACCGGTTGCCATCCACTTCAAAGCAGACATCAGGGTAGGATGGAAAGGTATCTGCACAGTCAAAGGGCAGCTCTCCAAAGCCAACCTTGAGGATAACATTAAAAACAGCACTTTCACATAGTGGTCATGATCAAGTAAATTAAGTGACGGACTACTGAAACGTCATTGTTATAAAACACCCATCAAATGTTAGTTTAAATCCCTAAAAAGGTAAACATTTTTGCCAAAGTTGCCCATGTTTTTCTCTATTTAACATCCCTATTCACAAATATGAACTCGGGAAAAAATGTGAGAAATAGACAAAAGATTAATTATTTCGAAAGCCCAAAAATTATTTCACGGCTGAAACATTTCGTGTTTATTTACATTTAACTTGGTTTAAAAAAAAAATCGCAGGGTGTTACATTGCTCACCATCATTACAATAAAAGCCCGATTCCTTCTCAGTCATTTTCTAAACCCTTACTTAACCGACATCACTCAATTACGCCCTGTGACTGACACAGACAAACGAGGTTTCTTACCATGCAAGATGGGGCCATAGGGACTCTTACACTTAAGAAACCCTTCGGGAGTACACTGCAGGACATGCCTCATTACCTCCCATCAGCACGGTTGGATACGTACGGCGCGAAAGAAGTTCAATATACATAAGTTACATTCCATCGTGATAGATGTCAATGCGTCCAACACGTTCCCTCTCGTGTAGTGCAATGCGCTGCAAGATCACCTCACCCTCAACTCCGGTGGGAAGGCACAATCGGCCAGCAACTCCATGTCCTCTCGTAGTCGACAGGCATCGAAAGCCTCCACTGTTATCACCTTGACGCAGGTGCCAGGTTTTGTCGACACTGAAAAAATTGTAATCACGCAACACAGCTGAATGAATTTTTGACTAGCCCACACATTTTGATTTAAAGCTTTCGTGACTGCCGGGATTCATATTCTTGGTTCTTTCTGTAAAGTCACGTATAAGGGAAACAATAAAAGAAGAGTATGTACGGTACTTCTTGTCAGGTAGTCCCGTGCTATGGCTACAAATATTTAAAACACAACCCCGCGAATTCCAAATAGCACTACGCTAAATTTGTCGCGAATACGCAAAACGGCAATCATAAAACCCACGAAAATTAATGGTTTCGCTGTACTCTTTCTCTGCAATATTGATGCTTTTGTTTTGTTGCTACCGTGCTCATGCACCACGGACCTCCCTTGTAAGATAGCTGGGAAACTGGCAACAGGTCAATATTAAACTTAAAACTAAACTCTGTACAGCGTCAGTTGAATGCTTAATTTATTTATTGGGTGCAACTGTAAACAACAGCCACGTCAGACATGAGTACATGGAATCGGCATAAGCGTTTGGTTCAATTTCGACGCCGTGGGTTAACGGGGTAAATGCACAAACCCTGCGCCAGCAACGTCGCCACTCACCAAACTCGTACACCTGCTTGCACTTGGAGTCGAGCTCCTCTATCAACTCCAGCAGCTGGCACTGCTTGGCAAGGCGTCGGCAGTCTTCGATGTTCTCCACGTCCGTGTCCATACGACCTTACGCACAAACACGCGGCGTCAACATGAGGTGGGCTTTGTGACGAAAGATAACACCAGGGGAGCCCATGGAGACAAAAGTCTCTTTTTCAAAGTCAAGACTCTCCGTGCGTGCAAACGGATAAAGAAACAAAATTGGCTTTCCATTCAATTGAGAATTATCTGCAGTGCCAATTTTCTGTTTACAGCCCCGCAAACAGTGATGGAAACAGTCTTTCTGCAACACCTTCCCCACAAAGCAATACTTGTTTCATATAGCCTGGACTTTGAAGACATTATGTATACAGGTTTCCCATCGCTTTATGCGGGTTCGGTTCGATTTCTCATATAAACAGCTAATCCAAAAATTTGCTACATGCGGTTTGAATTCACTCATACGCAGCTATGCGGTCGACAACGGCACAACGTTAGTGTGTGCTGCTCGGCAGGCTGCTGTCTCGTGTGGTGCATTGTGGTTAGGGTGACTGTACAGTCGGTCTATGCTTTCGTGATAATGCTTTGCGTGCCATTCTTTTTTTGGAACGCATCTACTGCATAAGGCTAGGAAAACCGGAATATATTGTTTATTTTTCTGCACACATGAAATACTGTCGTAAAGGTGCGAATGTTAAGTGACATTCGTTTATCCACTGTAGGATTTTTGAATAATCTTTTTAACATTACACATTAACCTTGTAATGAAATGCATTATTTTATGTATGATAACACTCACCTGTATAAAGATACTGCAAAATTGAGCCAAAGGCAGCAGGATTGACCTGGAAAGAACATGTTGTTGAATCAGTCATTTTTTTAAGTGAGACATGTGAAGTGGGGTTCTATTGAGACGCACTCGAGTATGAAGGCAACATGTTTGATTTACTAACACAACAGGTAAGTTTACACTCACCGGGATAACGACTAAGGGCGGTGACCACCACAGATAGCTACATAACCACACGGGAACTCTATATAGTCGGCCGGGTCAGCTAACACGCTGCCCGGCTCTCGATGGCTTGTCTGACGCCCGAAGACCGAGGATCCAAGACCTGGCTGGCGGATTCCATTCCCTGGGACAGCAACAACGACAACCTGCCTGCTTCTCCGCACCGGCTTTTATCCGCCCCGGCGTGGCCAGGCCACGCCCCATTCCAGATTCTACGAGGGTTTCTGGTTCCCCATCACGTGTCCCTCTCACCCCCTTTGGGGGGTAGCCCCTTCCACCTCGTCCGGCCACGTGTCCTCCCGGGTGCACCCACAGGCCATGTCATCACGTGCCCTCTCTCTCACCTTTGCCAGGGCTATGCCCCTGCAGTACCCTTCGTCACTTGGGACTGCGGCTGCCCTCTAGTGACATCGAGTATGTCACTACACATGTACACATGTGCATATATCCCAATCACCCTGAATGTGCCTAATTTCGTCACATCTCAGAAGCTAAAGAGTGTTTCAGCCTGGTTAATGCTTGGATGGGAGACTGTCTTCGAATACCAGGTGTTACAGGCTTGTGCTGTGAGGTGGCCAGGAGATGGCAGTTCGGCTTGGTGAAGACAAATTGCTGCAAGGAATGATGGGCGATGGTCAAGAATAATAACGAAGTGGCAGGCAAGGAATGGAACGTGTCTGAGACGAGGTCCACCCAGGACACGGAGCGATGAGATCAGCTGGCGTGCAGGTACTAGCTTTAATTATTAGATAGCAGGTGGAGTTAATGGAGACCTGATGTCTTGCAACAGGTGTCTCTTTGGTGTTTGATCATCTTACCACCTCCTGTATTATTGCCAGAAAGGTTAAAGGACTATTTCTTTGATAATTGTTTTTTTACCCTTTTATCTGGCAACAAAACTGACACTTTTTTTTTTACAAGGAGTCATGTTTGCATTGACCACAATACCTGCGGTCGGAATGCAAACAAAAGACAACTCTGATAATGTATGCACTGTCCTTGAAATTGATTGGTCCACACCCGAGACAGCTTTTCTTAGTGCCTAGTCTCACATGGTGTTGGACCAGATGACGCCTTTTTGCATTCCGACCGCAGGTATTGTGGTCAATGCAAACATGACTCCTTGTAAAAAAAGGTGTCAGTTTTGTTGCCAGATAAAGGGTAAAAAAACTATTATAATATTTTGATACCGGCAAAGGAGGTCCCAAAGGCTATTCCTTTGTCATGATCTTGACGCCGATAAAAAGGGTCCCATAGACCGTGGATGCGTGAGAGACGGCGAAGACTTGGGGAGGTCTTTATTGAGCGGTGTATTGACCATGGCTGATGACAATGGTGGTGATGCAAGTCATGCCGTTCACCTACCAGTGGGTGCATCAGAGAAATTATGTTCTTGCCCTTCCACTTTGACTGGAATTTCTCAGCGAAGTAGGGGGAGCGGGCGCAGAGGACGCAGCGATGCGTGCGGAACGACTGCCCGTGCACAATGAAGCACACGTCGCTGTAGAAGCCCTGCTCTAGCAGCCTGCACGCGACCACAGCGGCACGTGTCAACGCAAACTCAACGCCGCCAAAAAAAACACGCGGGAGGAATTTTTTTGCAGCGCAAATAGAAGCCCTTGAAAGACTGTCGGTAAGAAAAACGCAAGTGTTGTTTACAAGTTAAATTTTATCAACGCTTGTTCTCCCATTAATAATTGCAAGCACGTACACACACACACAACTGCAGGAGGTGGCCAGGTGGCTCAAGAGGGCAATGGCTATGTAGGTTGCAAAAAAGGTTAAATATACAAACACACAACATCATGTTAGAGCACGTGGCTGGCACCCGTGATTCAACTAAATATTCAAATGTAGCGAGTTCATCATCTCAGCCTGGCTACGTATGACTTGCACTGACAATTTTATATTATGGTTTTAATTGTATGAGATAAACAATGTTGGAAGAGGCTAATCACCCGATGTTTAAATGTGTTATTGGCATTGTCATTAGATGAAGAAATTCGAATTTTGAACTTTCACAGCTAGCTCAGCGATATCATACATTAGAGAATGATTAACTATTTTTGACATTACTTCAATAAGGATCTTTGTGCACATTAGGGGCATTCCCTTTATATACATTGCACAGAATAGTGCATGTAGAAAGAGTCTTGCGGGTTGTTTTAATAACAAGAGCTCGGTAAGAAATCAATTAAGTAAAACTCAACATTAATGTAACAGGGTTGGTTTTCCCCATGAAGTAATTGGAGAGAGGAGGCTGTGACCATCAACTCACTATGTGTAAAAAGCCAGCCTAATCATAGAGTACTTCTGATACCTGAACTCAGGTATCAGTCACCTGACCCACCTCTGGTGAATGCAGACCCTCAAGCTAACCTAAAACACACGAAACCGGTGCTGTGGCAAAGAGACCGACAAACACTCCCACCCATGCACACAGGTGCAGCATAGTATCAACAAGGCTCGACTATATGATCGATTATTGCAACTCACTACCCTACGGGACATCTGGAAAAAAACATTATCAATAATTTGGCACGCGTCATGACAGATATTACAAAATCAGACCAAGTCCGTTTGGTGCTCGGTGAGCTCCATTGGCGTCCGGTTGGAGAACGAATACGTTATAAGGTCGCACTCATTACATACAAAGTGCTTGCCACAAACGAACCACACTATACGTTGCAAATCTCATCAAGGACCATAACAATCATCACACAAACTCCGGTTATCCTCGCAGCAGCTTTAGGCTAACCTTTCAACAAAGACGGTCACCGCATCGTGCACTCTCAGATGCACTTCTGTGGCCGTTTGGAACGCTCTTCCTTCCAATATTAGGAAGCCTCCTCTGAGAAATGCACTTTAAAATCGAGATTTAAAACTAATTTCTTCAGAACTGCTTCGAGTTTTTTGCTTGTTGTCCTTCCCCCCCCGCACCTCCGATTAGTACGTACCGTACGAAAGAAGTTCAGCATACATACCTACGCACGAGCTCATTTTATCTGGTGCTCACCTCTCCAGGAAATCATCGTAGAACTCGCGCACCATCCGCCGGGACGTGATCTGCTTGTAATCGCGCAGCAGGCGCCGGATGCGGTCGCTGAGAGCGCCGTACAGGCAGCGCTCGCCGTCAAACGTGTTTGCCTCACACTTGGCACCTGCAAGGTGGCGAGATGTTAACTACCTCGTCAGGTATACAGGAGATCGTGGGTTCGATCTGTCGAGAGTTCGATCCCTACCCTGACGCCTGTGTATTTAAAATTTTCCTGTCTCTCCTCCCGTAGTGGCGTCGATTTATCTCCGGGTCCTCCGGGTTTTCCCCTCCACATTTAGAAAGATGCATTGAGTATTTGGCTGTTATAAATTTCCATGTGATAAGCCACTTCGTTGAGCTATCATTTGTGGCCAGGTCGCTTCTGAAAGAAGAGCTACATAGCTCCGTGGGCCTTATCTGGTTAAATAAATATTCTTGGTTCTTTTGGTAAAGTTACGTAGCAGGGAAACAATAAAATAATAATAAAATATTATAAAACAATAAATAAAAACTAAATATGGACTGACAATTGCCCAAGCTTAAGATCTTCTTCTTTGTATGGCTCATGTAGATGCAGAGCAACTAAAAATTCACATTCAGATGGACAAGCCAGCAGCAGCGGGATGTATCGCTGCGATGTCTCCTTCGTATTTGTGAATCAGGCATTGCGTCGTTATGCGTTGTGTATGGTCTGTTCTGGATGACCACAGATGAAGACGCGTTCGGCCAAGGGATGAGTGTTCATGCATGTGGGAATAAGCCGAAGCACGTGGAGAAGAGCCACACGTTGAGAGGAACAACTCTATCCCAAACAGAAGGGGGGGGGGCACATGATTTTCATCTGCAATCTGCTGTACCGTGTTCTCCTGGAAAGCCATGGCAAGGAAGCACCTCAACGTCCATGGGACGGTTTGCAACATTGTTCCGGATCCACTCACCATCACCTCCACAGTGCTAGATTACAGGAATGTCAACGCCGCCTGGCTACAGTTTTAGACATTGGTGACTGGGCTGAAACCATTAAGTCACTGCACTTGAAAAACCTGATTGAATCAACGGCAGCTGCCTGGATTTGAACCCGGGAACTTAGCATTGCCGGCTGAGCTACATGGCCACCTCAAGAGCTTTAATCTTACAGGCAAGTCCATAAGGCTGTGTGTTCCGTGAGGTGTTCATCGGGAGTTTTACGCATCACAAAAAGGAAAAAAGCACTTTAAAATCACAAGTCAGGCTCTGTGTCATAGTGCTGCAGATATGTCACTCCATTGACATGTTACAACATATGGAAGTGACATTACAGTGATATAATGAGTGTCATCATGACGAATTTGAGTCATACCTGTCAACCCCTTATCAGTGCCCTATCTTATTACAGTCCAATTCAGACCTTTTTGGTCACCCCGTGCCATTATAAATCTCAACGTTCATCCTACAAAGTCCCATCACAAGGGAGAACCACAAAGACACATTTTTTTTAAGAATACGGGTAAACCGTATGGGTTGACAGGAATGTTGACCGCAACTTGAAACAGTCCCGTTTCTAATAAATGACGCTTCAAAGTCATGCGAGGCATCTCACAGCCTTGTTTCTTCCGTTTACATCTCTGTATAAAAAGTTAGAAAAGTCTAATTAAACACAAGACAAATACATCAATGCCACATAAAGATTAGAACCAATAGCAAAAGCTATAACACAATTCTAAATATTAACACACCATAACAAGGCTTGTGTGCATTATTAACAATCTCAACAATTAAAAATGGCAAGTAGATTTAACGAGCATTTTAAATTCGGTTCCGACGGCTTCGTTGCAAGGCCACACAGGCTGTGCGCATAACGGTAACGTTTATTAGTGCAACCTCCAACAAATTTATTCTGGAGCCATAATTAAGAAAAAAAATTGCAGCCATATCAGCCGTGCATAGGCCACCCATGTTCCTTTCCCCATCCCCTGCCGTTGACATATTTTTTACTTTTGTAAGCTTAAATTGTGATTTAAAGCTTTCATGACCGCAGGGATTCATATTCTTGGTTCTTTCGGCAAAGTCACGTAGAAGGGAAACAATAAAATAATAAAAATAATAAACAATACAATTCTCACGACGTTTCGACTGCAACACAAGCAATCATCATCAGGTGTGGTTTTCACACTTTACTTTTTATATACACAAGCAATCATCATCAGGTGTGGTTTTCACACTTGATGATGATTGCATGTGTTGCAGTCGAAACGTCGTGAGGTTTTCACACCTGATGATGACTGCTTGCGTTTCAGTCAAAACGTCGTGACAATTTTATTGTTTAATATTTTTATTTTATTTTGTAAGCTTCTTACCATTTTCCAAAAGGTATTCCACGAGCTCTTCGTGGCCGCACAAGCAAGCGTAATACCTGAGAATACACAGCATGCCTATTAACATCTTATTATTACACACTTTCGTTTTCTTGCGTATTATACATCTGACAAAATTTCCTTTTTGGCTCGAAGTAAATAACTCGATTAACGCTCTTGTAATGTACCGTGCAGATGACCTCAGCACAAACTGATAATGGAATACTATAGCTCTAGCAACATCAATTAACAAAAATCCTCTTCTTTGCGACAGTATGGAGGGACTAACATCGGCTGTGCCATCAATCGTGGTGCTGACCACAAATTTACGCTGCTTATCCACAGGGAAAAAATGCAGATAATTGGGAGAAATTTGCCACTCATCTCCTCTTATTCATGAAAAATATGCAATGGTTAGCAAGCTGCAACTTGCAACCAAAATGCTACTGCCAGCCCAATCTCGTGACAGAGCAGTTGAGCCAATGGGGACGTTTTCCTCGCCCCTTGTTTTTATTTCAAGTTTTCCTCCACCCATCAGTACGAATGGGTGCACAACAGTTAGGCATATTCCTGGTTCTTTCAGTAAAGTCACGTACCGAAAGAACCAAGAATACGAATCCCTGCAGTCACGAAAGCTTTCAATCGAAACAGTTAGGCAATCGGTAGGTCGCACGTGGTGTGGTAAAGTGTGGTGCACTTCCATCTCTTCTGTGCCAAATAGCCAGCGTGGAAGAGTAGGCCAAAATACAATACAGAGGGGCGCTCTCGAGCCTCCTCCAGAGGAGGCCCTTCATCAAGCAGTGGCATAAGCAAGTGATAGCGGGGCTGCACCTTTACCTTTTATATAAAAAATATATGATAATTGTTCTTTACCCTTCTATCTGGCAACAAAACGGACACCTTTTTTTTACAAGGAGTCATGTTTGCATAGACCACAATACCTGCAGTCATAATGCAAACAAAAAACATAACTCTGATAATGTATGCACTGTCCTTGAAGTTGATTGGTCCACACCCGAGACAGCTTTCGTTAGAGCCTAGTCTCACATGGGTTGGACCAGATGAGCCTCTAAGGAAAGCTGTCTCGGGTGTGGACCAATCAACTTCAAGGACAGTGCACATTATCAGAGTTATGTTTTTTGTTTGCATTATGACTGCAGGTATTGTGATCTATGCAAACATGACTCCTTGTAAAAAGGTGTCAGTTTTGTTGCCAGATAGAAGGGTAAAAAACCAATTATCATATTTTTACTGGCAAATTAGGTTCCATGGTGTAAAAAAATATATGTTTAGCTGTTTAAAATATCATTCTGAGTGTCTGTCCATACCAAAGACTACAAATATGCACTTGTCAGCAGCTTAACTGTAAAAACAAGTCACCATGTGCCAATACCGTAAGAAACATCGCCAAAATATTTTGTGTTGTGTGTGCGTGTGTGCCTGTGCGCGAACTCGGTTCGACTCCTGCTCACAACCAACACGAGTGACGAATAACTCAAACGGTTTTGGGCCACGTCTAAGTCGACTCGGCCTAAAGTGAGTACCTTGGTGCAGTGTGTAAACACCATCACTGTGGAGACAAAGGTAGCCGGGCGTGGTGCTGGTCACAGCACACCGTTGTACGCTGTCCTGGGCTTAATAGGCGCTCGCCAACAGCACTTGCCCCATCCTCAGCCTATGTCGGCTATACAGGGGACCTTCGCGTATCTGTGTGGGGAGCCATGGCGCAGTAGTTAACACACTGCATTATGGACCCGGGAACCTGACTGACCCCTGACCCCTGGCCACGGCTAACAGCAATGGCGAGCGATAAGTAATCAGTTCTGGGCTTGCCTCGGTAAAATCCGCTTCCAATGAGTACCTGCTGCAGTTTCTAAACAGCACTGGGGGAGCCAAAGGTGTCCAGGCATGGTGCTGGCCACGCCACCCACCAAAGAGAAATTTCCAGCTATGATCGATGTGCTACAGAGGGATGTTTGTATCTGCACGTGAATCTGTGTCTGCATGGCGAATGGTGGCACAGCAGGTTCGTATATTACACTGTGGTCCAGGTAACTTGAGTTCGATTCCGCGCCACGGCTAATAATAACGAAGAGTGGTCACATCATTTGTCCTGGGTCCCCTTGAGGTCCACACTCAACCTTCTACGAGTACCAGGTGAGGTGTCTAAATATCAACACTGGGATAATAATGGAAAACAGGCACGGTGCTGACCACGCTGCTCCTTCACACGCCGCCGACCACAATAGGCGCTCGCTAACAGCAGTTGTCCCAACAGAATAATGGTATTAAACGTGGCATTTGTCTTGTTTTGTCTATGTCTGCGTGCTGCGTTGTGTTTGTGTGCGCGCGTGTGGTTTACGTACAATGGAGTACTGTCCCATTTATCTCTCACATTCAGTTCCAAGTCCCTCTCTTCCACAATGTCCCTGGAAGGAAGTAGTGGTGGCAATTATGTCAGAGTTGTACGATTGTACAAAGCATGAGCGCGAGAGACGTTTCACGAGATCACACATTCACAAGGGGGACGGATGGTCAGTTAAGTCTGGGTGTGGTGGCACTTTCCTGACTTGGGAGGTTCACTTAAAGAGTGGGACCAGTCTTATAATGCCGTACTTAGAATCATTTATAGGCCTGTATCAATCCACCGGCGGACGTGGGCATCTCCGCACCTTCGATTAGCACGGTTGGCTACGGACGATGCGAAAAAAGTTCAACATACATGCATGCGTGTAAGTCACGGGGATTGTTTAACCACACTTCATGAAGCTGGTCAGTGCGGATTGATGAGAGGGGTTGTGGGGTGGGGGGTGGGTGAGGAGAACCAGTTCATGTATCAATGGCCACTAACGATAGCCATAACCAGAAATGGAACTGAGGCTATAAATTCACAGCAGGGTACACAAGGACCCACTGCATCGCCACTCCCTCCCCGTGGGACCACTCTCACGTCTCCATTAACGTAAGCTCTGGAAACAAATTGTATTCTGCGCTTTGCATAGTAATTATAGTCCATATATTGCATAGGTGCGGAAACTCCAGGGACTGGATTGAACTATTTATTATCCTGGGTTGAGAAGGTGTTTATTCATTACGCGGGTCAAATTCATCTGGACACATTTTTTATCGAGGCACGTAAAATCAACTAATTCACGTATATTTAAAAGCCACACTTCCAGTCCGTGAAGAGAATGAGTCGAGTAACAACAGCAATTATGAGTGGTTTTGAGGCACAACTCATTTAGTTGACACTGCTTTAGAAAAGGAAGCTGGCTGAAGTTTTGAGCAGATGCAATTTCTTTGGAGCAGAGCGAAGGTAGAGACCGACGTGACACTGTGAGGCTTTGATAAAACTGGGATCTTTTGGTCTTTTATAATTTTGTCTTTCCACCGAGCTATCCGTATCATAGCATAAGACAAATCAAAGTCGTATCTCTCGCACACCGGTGTGACCCTTCTTGTTAGAGAACAGCCCACAGAAGCGGACACCAGAGAATTACTTCTGAGATCCCTTCAATTGATCTCTAGTCAACAGAGTATTGGGTAACACTTTCCCAACTGTCCTACCACTGAAATTAATGTACTGTATATGTCACAATAGTCAAATCTATATATTGGATTCTCTCAGAGTTGGAAGTTAAAGCGATGGTCATTTGCGTGCAGTCATTACTGACAGACCTGAGCCTATCAACTCACTACACTTGAGAAGTTGATTTAATACTGGTAGGAACCTCCTGGTTACACCAGCCCACAGGGGATTATTGTGTCCGTCGTGCAGGGAGGGGCTGGGTGGGGAGGGTGGGGAGGGGCTGGGTGGGGAGGGTGAGGAGGGGCTGGGTGGGGAGGGTGGGGCTGGGTGGGGATGGGCTGGTCACCCCGTGGTGCCCTTATAAAACTCAACGTTTAACCTACTCACGTCGCCTTGTGCCCGCCCTCACAGTCGGGCATATTTGCGGAATACACCACGCCGCCGTTGACCCTGGCCATTGACCGAGCAACCCAACGTTCCTACCAGCTCCCTCCGCAGGAATGTGTTCACAGGCATCTGCCTGTATTCGAACCCATTACCGGTGATGCGAGCTCAGCACGCCCTACCTAGGAGCCACCCCAACAAACTCAATACAACGGGGAATTTCTAAGAATATTAAGTGCTGTTTTGGCCTCAAACCCCGACGAATACGCTTTTGTTTCGCGAAATCTCTTTTCTAAAGCGTGTAACATTTCTGCCGCTCTTTATTTTCAAGTTACTAGAGCCAACAACACACGGAAGTGCAAAGTAAATGCTTGTTATGTAACCAAACGAGTCATCAAATACCACAATGTGAAGACTAACAAGTGCAGACAGCTTTTAGTGTTATTTGTCAACGCTATTTTGAGTCGATATTTAACTCGGATGGATTAACCAGCACAGCCACAAAAGACAAAGATCCCCCCGTATAGCCTTAACAGACTGGTAGCGAGCACCTATGAAGCACAGCAACACCAAACACAACACATCACATTTACGACTATAATGAGCCAAGAATGTCAGTGTGTCCCATGCTTGACGTCACTCCACGTCGACCAGCCCCCCTCATTAATAATCATGAGCAGGTGACGTCACTCCACATGGGGATCGAGGCGCCTCCTGCCCCCTCCTCAGCGTCAACTTACAACCCTCACTACAAAGGCAGAACCCTCACGTCACGCGATCTCCGTAACACTGTTGAGACATCAAAGTAAAAAGGACGTCATGATAAACAGGGGATTATAACATTAAAATGAAATAAGTCTGTGTCACCGCGGCCTTACAAATTGTATACGAATGGATGCAATTAATATCACATCGGGGTCTGCATTTCGCTTGCAAGTTTCAGACTTACTGCAATACACCCGTTCTTGGACGGGCAAAAGGCTAGTATCATAATATTGGTGTTAAAAGCACCGAGGTCCAACATGCCGTGTTGGGGGGGCGGGGGGTGTTTAATTAAATTGACCAAGAGGCCTGCTCGTTCTTTACGTTCTATCACATCAATGTTGGATAGAGTGTAGTCCCTTCGCGAGACATTCATCTCATTAGGCTAGGGTTCAATAAGGGGGAAACGACAGATTATGAAAACTAAGTGCTTACATTGTTGACGGACGTATGTTAAACTTCTTTCGCACCGTACGTAGCCAACCGCGCTAATCGTAGGTGCGGAAGGCACCTCCAGAGTAGTTGAAGCAGCAGTGGAGCAAGTACAGAATGTTAAGAGTTTTCCTCTTGTTTGGTTATTGACAGGAACTCCTGTTTCATTCCAATCGAAACACAAAATCTCAAATATAAGGAAACCGGCCAATGAAACCAAGCAAAACCCCATTGACAATGAGTTAAAAGGCTCAGTTGGGAATTCTTTGGTTCAAGATGCTATCACACGCAAGTCAAAGGGGTTTCCTGCTCAGATAAGTATTCAAGCTGTGCTCGTCACCTGTTTACAGGCCTGAGTCAATGGGCGCTGCGGTGGCGAGATGTTAACTACCTCGCCTGGTATGCAGAAGGAAGTGGGTTCGATCCCGACCATGACGCCTGCTGTATATTTGGAGTTTGCGTGTCTCTCTCCCCGTGGTCGTGTGGATTTTTATCCGGGTCCTCCAGTTTTTCTCCTCCACATTTCGAATGAACATGCGTTTGTAGTATTTGGCTGCTGCTATCAATTTCCAGGTGATAATTAGCCACTTTGTTGAGCTGTCATTTGTGGCTCAGTGGGCCCTTACCTGGTAAAGTAAAAGTTTAGTTTGTGCAAATTCCACATTCCTAAGCGGTGCTACATATTGACTGCTGAGAGATGATGGGACGGGTCAACCTCCCCCCACCACCCCAATCAGTATTTGACCATACAACCTTCCCAATTGTCAGCCTTACTCTAACCGCCCAGTTGCAAACACGTTGAACCGAAATTTAAACTTCACCGGCACGTGGTGCAAAGACAATGAGCCGCAGAACAAAAGTTCCGTGCTCTCGTTGAAAATCCATTTGGACAACTTATCCAAGTGAGTTTGAGGTCCTGTTAAGGCTCAACTCCAGCTTGCTCTGGATGCAGCTGCGAGGAGTAATTGACGCGCACGCACTACCAGTCAAGTTCCCGAGTGGACTAAGAGTCTGCTGCTGACCTACGAGGCTCTTCTTAAATGGGTTAGTCCCACAATACCCGCAGGGACTGGTCCATGGTATAGTCTCCAACGAGGGCCCCGAGATCCGCGGATCGCCTTCTTCTAAGGACTCCGAAGGTCGAGGCTTTGTTCCGGGGGTGATCACGCTTTCGCCAGAGAAGCTCCCAGATGATGGGACGACGCTTTTGCCTTTTGTAGCCAGGCAATCACAGTCACCAGAGTCATTGGAATCTCTCTCGAAAACTCAAAACTCTTTAAATTGCCCTTCACCCCCCTAGTTCTGGTCGTTTGCCCCGATTCTGTTGTGTTTCCTGCTTCCTATACACCACGGCACATTGGGATCTACGGATGAAATGCACCGTACATATTCGAATTGCTACTGTATCTGATGATGACATCTGCTGTTGCTGCCGTTCGCAAAACTTGAATGTTTAGTTTTTTGTGTTTGTGGCAGTCTCTCCCTCCTGAAAAAAACACACTCAAGTACCCTCCAACAAATTACACTTATAAAGTGTCAGTTCAAAATAGTATTAAAGTACCGTGCGTGTGGTATACAACGTGGGTATTTAGACAGCAAAAATCTCAGATATTTAATGCCGAGTTCTGTGGTTCAACTCGAATTTTGGACTAACTTCTGCGGTTGACATTTGAGACGCAGTCGTACTCATGAGACGCAGTCGTACTCATGAGAACGACTCATTTCCCCGCAAATGTCCCTTGCCAATCCACCTCTGATTCAATATCGATCTGTGTGGGTTTATGTAACCATACTTTACCGCGCTGGTATGAAATTGTGGCCGAAAACATCGAACCACGGGCTTGCGTCACCTTTCCAGCCCAACGTCCACACGAAACGGTACCTATTTTACCGACCACGATGATTGCCAGTCAAACTGAACTCAGAGAAGTGATTAAAACAACAGGTCTCTTTCACTGCTCAGACGGACGCGGGTGGCCACGATGCGGTTGTGGAAATTCCACATTCACGCGGCGGGAACAGGTCAAACCCAACGGAACACAGTACGGAATGATCGCCGAACAATCGATCACAGTAACGGAAACCCACACCGATGGGTTTAAGGCAACGCAGACAAACATCGCACTCCGATTGTAAATGTTGTGGCTTTAACTCTCCCAACACACAACTTGTGTGTGCTGCACACCGGTAACGAATTGGCACGTGTACAGCTGTGTACGTGACAAACCTTTTAACTAATTGGCCGTGTCGGGTGGTGACGGGTTTAACGACACAACATTTATATATTTATACGCGATTCAACTCCCTCAAACCCACCAATTCCCCCACGTCCCGTATTACATACTGTACGTTATAGTTCATGGCGAAAGAACCTCGCTGCGATGTGTAAACACACTCGATACAACGACGACGATGATGATGATAACAACACGGCGTAACAAACACACACACCTGACCCTGCAAAGGTCGCCTCGCCTGCAACTCACGAACAGTTCGTTAATCGCCATGCCCGCTGCCGTATCTTGCCCTCTCGTCTCAGTGCCTGGCAGTGGTATTAGTATTGAAGTTTGTATCTCCTGCTGCTGTTGTTGTTGATGTTACAGTATTTCGTGATCGCCGTTCAGAGTGGCGACCTATCAGCTGTTCCCCATGGCCCCCAACGTAAACACCCACCGCGCGCTACTGCGCATGCGCTGATTTAAGCTTGCGGGGGGGGGGCGGTGGGGGGGAACGTAATCGGAAATCTAGCGACGAGAGAGCGCTCGCTCGCTCACTCACTCCCACTCTCGCTAGCCCCCACCCCCACAGCACAATTAGAATGGTAACTTATACTGGTAGGAACGAAGTGGACCAGACCACCAATAGATTAATGTGTCCGTCCGTCCGTCCGTGGGAGGGGTGGTGTTGAGGGTGGTGTTGGAAATGAAAGACTACGAGTCTTTAAATCTCACAGCGTTTCTTGTCAAAACAAACACTTTTAATTAACGTTACACTAGAATACAGTAATTTTTACTTTAACTCCTCTATACCCGGTCGATATCTCTGTACCGGTACTAAGTATTATTCCTTCCAGCCCACCCCGCACGGTCCTATTATTCTTGGTTCTTTTAGGTAAAGTCACGTTGGTAAAAAATTTAAATTAATAAAAGTAAAATACAAATAAAAATCACGACGTTTCGGAGGCAACACAAGCTTCCGTTCGTGATTTTTATTTTATTTTGTATTAATTTTAATTTAATTTTTTACCTACGTGACTTTACCGAAAAACCTAAGAATATGAATCCTTGCAGTCACGAAAGCTTCAAATCTAGAAATGATAACTTATATTGTTGGTTCTTTCGGTAAAGTGACGTAGATAGAAAATAAAATAATATCAAATAAAATTTAAAATAAAAACAAAAAAACCCACGACGTTTCGATCGCAACACAAGCGGTCTTAATCAGGCTTTATTTGGTGATTTCGACAACGTTTTTTGGTTTGGCCATGTTTGTTTGTTGTAGTACGGAGTTAGAATGATGGCTTTAATCTAAGTTGTCTTGTGGTTGTTTGACTTGCATCCCACTGGGATTTTTGCACAGCGTTGGTGTACGGTGCTTTTTTTCTGGAAGACTTAGCAGTTTTTTCCTAGATTTTTTCTGTTTGCGCATAGTCACTTTAAAATGTTTTCTTGTTCATGTTTTTGTTTTTTGTTTGTTTGCGGTTGCACCCGATTCAAGAGCCGAATGGCTCACAGGGCTATACCTAATAAATGAAACTGAATCAGGCGGTCTTCATCATGCGCCTGATGAAGACCGCCTGTGTTGCGATCGAAACGTCGTGGGTTTTTTGCTTTTATTTTTAATAAAATTTTATTATTTTTATTGTATTTTATTATTTTTATTGTATTTTATTATTTTTTATTTTATTTTCTATCTACGTGACTTTACCGAAAGAACCAAAATATGAATTCCTGCAGTCACGAAAGTTTTAAGTCAGAATGATGATTTTTTATTTAAAGCTTTCGTTACTGCAGCAATTCTGACTCTTGGTTCTTTCGGTAAAGTCACGTAAATAAAACAAATTATAGATCACAACGTTTCGATCGCAACACAAGACGATTGCTTGACGATTGCTGGTGTGGCGATCGAAACGTCGTGATCTATTATTTTTTATTTACGTGACTTTACCGAAAGACCCAAGAGTCAGAATGATAACTTGTATGGCAACCTCAAGAGCTTTTATACTGGTAGGAACCTCCTGGTTACATCAGCCCACAGGGGATATTGTCCGTCCGTCGTGCAGGGAAGGGCTGGGTGGGGAGGGGCTGGGTGGGGAGGGTGGGGCTGGGTGGTTGATGACATCTTTCCAATGATTGCCGAGTTTAAAACCGTCGTCTCGGTTGAAATTGTGTCTGTATATATGGGTGGCTTCGTGAACGAATCTTTGTTGATAGGTATGATGATCTTTGAATTTGGTGATGCTGCTGCGTTATCAGTGGCACACCAAGACAAAAAATTAAGTTTCGCGAACAAATATTATTTATAAGTGTTTTTGGGGTGGTTAGATGGCATAAATGTTGTCAGGCGATGAGCCAGAATTGGTCGCGAAAGCCTACGTGTTACATTGTCTTCTCATTTGTTTGTATGTAATCTGTAGAACATGTAGTCCACAACGTAGCATCAATACAACTTTGTCAACACATTTACGTATTTCGGAATCTAAGGAGGCGTTTGTGTGTGAGAGCAGTTGTAAATAATACTGGGCGATACATGTCTGCATTTAAACTCTTTATTTTTCTAAGTTGAGCACGTCAATTAATACTCTGTCACAGTATTTGCAATCCACGTCTTTGCATTTTTTGGCAATCATTTAATTATAGTAGGTGGTAAGGATTTTAGTTTTTATAGAAAAAGATTCACAATTTCGATTTAAAGCTTTCGTGACTGCAGGGATTCATATTCTTGGTTCTTTCGGTAAAGTCACTTAGAAGGGTTAAAATAGATTCAAAAATTTTCTAGCTGTGGTTTTCACACCTGATTATGATTGCTTGCGTTGCAATGGAAACGTCGTGAGAATTTTATTGCTTTATTTTAATACTTTATTATTTCCCTTCTACGTGACTTTACCGAAAGAACCAAGAATAAGATTCACAATGCTATGAACATAAAGAACGTCGCATATCCACCCCAAATTACACTGGTCAACAAAAAAAATAAATTTCTGGCCTGGACTTTTGCAGCTGTTCTAAACTAATTTTAGGGTGCTGATTCAAAATCTGATCTCAGATTTGCTCTATCAAATCTCATTTTTATGCTATCGGCATACCCCATTTTCATTGATTTTACCCAAAATTAACTCTGTCACTTATGATTGCAAGTTGTTGCGAGTCAGTGACTGCTTTAGTGTTAAAATATGCTGCTGTATTTTTAGGATAGTGTTTATAATATCATTTTATGTAGATATCAACATTTAATATTTTTCTTCTGCAGTTTTTATTGAAAATGCAATATTTGATATCTCAAAAACCTGATGTGATGAGACAAAAACTGATGCCAGATTTGGAATCAGCACCCCAAAATTACCTTAAAACCGTTGGAATACCTTATGCCAGAAAACGTGTGTTGACCAGTGTTATCAACTGCTCACCACCCAGTGTGTGATTTGTGCATAGAGTAACTGTCATTTCCCAGGGATGTTCACAAATCCCACCGTTTCATTCAGTTCAGCAATTTTAATCTCACATACATCCGCTTAATTATAAAGCACAGTAAAGCACTTTCTGCTGTTTGCACTTCAATTTAAATCCGGGAACCTGTTTGAGCATGCATGGTATCCTATAGATGTTCACGGATCTGACCTTTTACCCATTTGCCTCTGTCAGGCACCCCCCTCACCCCCCTGCAAGTTGGATATGCGAGCACATTCTGTACAATCACGAGACAAACATTCCATTTTTCACAGTTAAAAATGTAAATAATTACAGTCCAGTTTTTTTTTTACATCACATTTTGCTATAGGCTACTGCAAAGGGTTACAAACTTATGCAATCACAAACTACATTTAGGAAATTGCTCACACAAGTACAGTGGCTGTCATCTTCTGCACCCCAATTGTAGTGGAGATACACATCCACCACGTCATGTACAGCCCTTTGGTCAACCCACTGCTACATGAGGGCTTCCCTATGCTGTGGGGGTCACGGGGGTTATTTGACCACACTTCACCATACTGGTTAGCGAGGTCAGATAACAACACTTCACCAAAGTGGTGAAGTGTGGGTTGGTGAGGTCAGAGGTCACAGATGTGCCAGCACAGAAGTATAGCACAACGGATTTCACTGCCTCATTACGTAAGTTCCTATCACATCACGCTGTTTAAAAACACTGTAAATGATGCCATGCAGAATTGTCTGGATTTTAAACATTTCGCACCACTAAGACATATTGCAGTACAGTGTATATACAAATGTAGACCTAGACGATGCGATATTCAAAATGTTTAAATGTTACAAAAATTACAGCGAATAAGCATACAGTAGTTTTCACACGAGCCAAGGTTGGATTGACCCCATAGACAAATGAGGGCTTCGGCCCGCATGCTTTGTAGGCTCTCCTTTTAGGTCCTTCATTTGACACTAAAGTAACAGCTGAGCGACGGTGGCAGCAAGGCCATGGGAAGTGGTGTTTTGTTTTTGAATTACAATGACGGAATTCGTGACTTTGCCACAGCTAAAGCCAGGGGAGAGAAAAAAATGTTTGAAGAAATGTGTCGTGATTCACGTCTGATGAATTTACCTTGAGTGGAATACATGTCAACTTTACATGGGTAAATAAATATTTGGTGACTTCATACACCTTTGCAATATGTAATACATACTTTGACTCTTTCCCCTCCTATTAACCTGAGGCCCCTCATAACCTTAATCCAGCCCTGACAAAAGCAGCTTACTTTATATAAGTCGTTGCACCCATTAGATATTAAAGTGCTAATGTTAACAGAAGTACACAATTGGTTTCCTGTAAACAACTGCGGTGATGGTAATGGCCGGGGGTCGGTAACTTTCGGCTCCGGAGCCGCGTGTGGCTCTTTAAGGGGCTGCTTCGTGACGCGTTGTTCATCAAGGACGACCGTCTCGTATGCACCGCGTGCATTGCGGCCCTTGAAATATTGAGTTATCTTTTTACCGAATTCGAAAAAAACGGCTCTTATTATTACATTGGTTTCCGACCCCTGGTAATGGCCAATCGACAAAAGCTTCCATTGTTTTGTTCTATTCCTGGCATCATTGGACTGTTGCACACGATGTAAAGATAATTATGCTTCACCAGGAGGATTAACGAGTGAATTGGTTAATTTACACGCTGAAAAAATAAAATATACACTTTACACGAAATGTATCTTTATTAAGTCCTCACATACAACGCAAATATTACTGCACATTATCTTTGTTTTCTAAAACCTCTTTTTCACTGTACAACTGAGCCACGCTAGAGCCGTGCGGAGCCAGCTCAGCATGGCTCAGGAGGCGCCAGGTTGTTTTTCCACTGCACAACCCGAGCTGTGCCGCTGATATCACACGCAATGAGCAAGGGGAGACAGCATGTTTGAGTTGTACTGACTGATGTCACACACTGCCTGGGCCCAAGCCAGATTAAGTTTTCTTGTGAGGACAGTTTAGTTCTGGCTCAGGATGGAAAATAGCCAGTGGAAAACCACCTGTATGGATCATTTGGGACCTGTGCTGGTGTAGCTCTGTGCCAATGGAAAATAAATATATTACAAGTTACTCTTAGAGATAACAAAGAGATGTTGCTATAAAGTGCAGAAAGTCCCATAGGTTAAGAGAGCTGGTATCTGCTGCTGTGGCTTTAGCTGGGTTTGCTCTGCATTGGAAACTGAGAGACATCTTCAGCAAGCATGGGTGACGACAGGTAGGTCTCCACCTCCCTTTGCTTCATCAGCAAGCCCTGTCGGTGAAGCAAAGTGGAAAATTACATTAGGAATTTATAACTCGGAAATTATAATGCACACCGTTTCATTCACTCTCACAGGGACAGAATGATTCGCAGGAGCAGAAAACCACAGAGAGTTGGGAATGCGGCCAAAACTGGCACCAACAATTACTGTGGTCCTATATTGGGATGTTGGCCAAAGTCGACCAATGAGTTGCTCCTAATCCCTCTAGCAGCGCTCAACTTCCCCTAGCCCACACCTCCCTCTCTATCTCTCCTCCCTGGCTCCTCCCCCCTCTCTTACCTATATAGCCTCTTGTCACGACAGCCCTTTTGCCCACTTCAGCAATTGTTTCTTGCTGTGGTTGTTCCACCTGATGACGGACGATTGTGTTGCGCCCGAAGCGTCGTGATTTAATTTATTTTATTTTATACCCTACGTGACTTTACCGAAAAAACCAAAGAGTATCGACCAATAAGTGTTCGTACATGTGGGAGCAAACCAGAGATTGAAATAAACACGTATCGCAAGTTTGTTAATCCGCTACTCAATGAGGGCTTCAACATGCCGTGCATGTTATTTGATCAAACTGGACCACGCCGGACAGCGCGGGTTGACAAAGTTGGGGAGAGCATAGATGTGGAAGCATAAAAGTACAGTGCAACAATGGGTTTTGCTGCACCGCCTTTTATTGCCCACACTAAAGAAATTTAAGAATTAGATGTTGAAAGCAGTATCATTGAAATACATTTTGTACGCTTTAATGCCATACTGTACCTGTCTGAGTTGAGATAGCCCCTCAAGAATAGCCTTTTGTCTGTCCTTGGACTTCAGCAGCTCCGGGTTGAGAAGAGGATCACGTGACTGCTCTGAACTATGCCTCCGCTGCTCCAAATATCCTGTCCACAGAACAGAGGTCGCAAACGGGTTTTGATTCCTTACCCGTACCCGGCTGCACCAGGGTCGCAAACGGGTACCTGTACCCGGCCGTACCCGTACCGTACCTGTACCCGGCCGGGTACGGGTAGGGTATCGGGTACCTGATTGCGACCTCTGGGATGAAGCCATGTTGCAGGCGCGGGTGGGTTGATTCTAGGAACTTGAATTGTGAGAAGAGACAAGACTTTGGGAAATGAGTAACAAACAGTTACTCACCAGTGACTCACGGTCTACCCATACCCAGCCGCACCATGGTCGCAAACGGGTACCCGTACCCGTACCCGGCCGGGTACGGGTAGCCGGGTGTCGGGTAGGGTACGGGTATCGGGTACCCGGTTGCGACCTCTGCTAGAGAAACAACAAAAACTAATTTTTAATGAGACTGGCAGCTGTTGAGTTTTCAACGAGAGGCATGTCCCAAGCCAACCTTTCACGCGACTTGTAAGGACACAATCGCACAGCACACACACGCTAATATAGTTAGCAAAACGTGTTATTGATCCAAACAAGAGTGTTCTTTGCATGTCAAACTGGAACATGTATGTCTCGGAGCTGAAAATAAATGAACTAAAAGGCAACCTTAATATAATCCGTTTTTATTTTCCTGGTGCAGTAATTGGCAAGCAATTCCACCACTTGGTTCTGGGCTGTATAATGGCGATGAGCAACGTCCGAAGGCTCATTCGAGCAGGAATTCACTTAAGACTTCGTGGTCATTTGAGCCATTGGTCCGAAAATTATTTTTTCTGTTCCAACTACAGTGGCATACGCTAACAGTGATTTTAGAGCTTTCATCTCTCGATCACAGAAATGTATCACGGCAAGTTCACTGTGATAGTTTTTACGAACGAAAATCATTAAAAGACAGGTTATGTGGCAATTTTGGAAGAAAAAAACAAATAGGAAATTAAAATCTTCAGAAAATGAAAATTATTTGGAAGTATCCACATAAGACACACTATATAGGGTAAGCGCTCTGCCCATGATCGACTCTCCATGATGGATACTAGTTGCATTTGCCATCCCAAGTGGTACAGACCAACCCCCTTGGCTTATGGGCAAGATGTGAACTATTTTGCCTGGTATACAGGAGGTCGTGAGTTCCATCCCAACCCTGACGCCTGTATATTTGGAGTTTGCATATCCTTCACGTGGTCGCGTGGATTTTTCTCCGGGTCCTCCGGCTTTCCCCTCCACATTTAGAAACACGCGGTTAGAGTCTTTGGCTGCTATAAATTTACACGCGATAAGCCACTTCGTTGAGCTATCATTTATGGTCAAGCCGCTTCTGAAAAAGGGCTACGTAGGCTCAGTGGAGCCTTGCCTGGTAAAATAAAAAATTGTTTGGTTTAATAGTTTAGTTTAAATTGACGCCGAGCGTGTCCATCGCGGAGGTGCAGGGACATCTCGACGTACCACGGCCGTATCTGTACTGCGACTCGTTGGTTGGTGGGCGTGACATGGGCGCGTCGGGGTCCAGATAGAGGACATCATCGCTGCGCAGGTACGGCACAAACGCCGCGTTTGGAGGGGAGGTCTGCCCGGCCCTGCTCGCTGAGGCTTGCCGGCCGCGTTGGCCTGTCCCAGCTCCGGCTTCCCCGGCATCGTGCAGCGGAGCCAAGCGGTGAGAGGCGATGTGAACCGCCTCTGGCGTGTGGCCGGCACCCCCCCTCTCTGCGTGGTCGCCACCTTCGCCCGCCTCCTCCTCCTTCTGCTGCTGCTGCGTTCTGTGTCTGAGCGCCGGAACTGGTGGTGAGTCCAGTCTAATTTTCACAGTGTTCAATAACATAGGATCGATTACGTATCAGTGAGCGTCAGCCCTCACCCCTGGAGACTCTATGGAGTGTCAAGACTTAATATAACCAGCACACTGGTAGGAACGTCCTGGTTACACCAGCCCACAGGGGATTGTGTCCGTCCATCGTGCAGGGAGGGGCTGGGTGGGGAAGGGCTGGGTGGGGAGGGTGGGGCTGGGTGGGGAGGGGCTGGGTGGAGAGGGTGGAGAGGGGCTGGGTGGGGAGGGTGGAGCTGGGTGGGGAGGGGCTGGTCACCCCGTGGTGCCCTGATAAAACTCAACTTTTAACCTACTCACGCCGGCTTGTGCCCGCCCTCACAGTTGAGCATATTTGCGGAATACACCACGCCGCCGTTGACCCTGGCCATTGACCGAGCAACCCAACATTCCTACCAGCTCCCTCCGCAGGAATGTGTTTTAAATACTGTAATATCGAGACTTCATTTACAGATTATACATATGAAATATTCCTGTCACTGTGCAAATTGTGACGAGAGAAGTCTGTGTCAAATAATTTAGTTTCGTAGCAATTCAAAGTACCTGTTTGAAAACTCGACATTGCTTTGTTGAGTTCTCTGGGTTGCATTGTTGTGTTCCGTCAATGGTTTCTGTAAGAAAAACATGTTTAGCTAAGCAAATTACACTTAAGTTTACACAAAATAATGATGGAAAGGAGGCGTCTTGTCCGATAATTATTTGTTTACATTGTACAAGTATTACATTTGCTGGAAAAAACACACTCGCTCGCCTTTTTCTGCACATCCCTTGTCTGGTGTCCCGTCTTGTCCGCGAGTGACGGCAGTGCCCGCGAGGCCCTCTGCTTGTGTGCGGCCTCCCCGGCGTCTTCCTGGCGGGCGGCGTCGCTGGCGGGGGCCTGTCCCTTGCTCACGACGTTCCTGTTGACCATCGCCAACAGCTGCTCCTGCCTCCTCTGCTTGCGCGCCTCCCGCTCAATCTCCCTTTTCCTCAGAGCCTTGGGGTACTTATCAGAGGCTCGGGTTGCGCCGCCTCTGCTCGGGAGACACAACCAGCGCGTCTTCTCAGGCTCACAGCAAAGGTGCTCGCTAAGGTGTTGAACTGCTCGGGAAATGTTACGGTAATCGTTGCCAGCAACCGTCACCAGCAATGCATCAACCATTTTCGACTCTTGTGAGTTGGCAGCCTACGAAATCTTATAAACAGTCACCTGATTTTTTTTTATTAATTTTAATTTAAATTTTTTACCTACGTGACTTTACCGAAAAAACCTAAGAATATGAATCATTGCAGTCACGAAAGCTTCAAATCTAGAATTAACAGTGACCTGGTCACGCAGCACAATGGCGTTACAAGATAAGCTTTTTTTACGGGAAAAACAATCAGTAGGCTTTCTCTTTCATCACCTCTGATAAGCACTGTTGGCTACGTACGGTGCGAAAGAAGTTCAACATTTTGGCTAGCCATCGAACAAAGATGGTCACCACATCACGCGCTTTCAGATGCGCTTCTGTGGCCGTCTGGAACGCTCTTTCTTCCGATATTAGGAAGCCACTGGAGCTATGCAGTTGGAAATCTACATTGAAAACTAATTTCTTTCAAACTGCTTGTTGTCTTTAGTTTGTTGTCCTTCCCCCGGCACCTCCGATTAGCACGGTTGACTATGAACGGTGCGAAAGAAGTTCAACATACATACCTACGTACGCACCTAACCTTTAACCTCATCACACGTGATCGACTGCAATTCCAGTAACCCGCCGAAGAAAACAGTGAAGGTAATCGTTACTGACCCCGCTGGATTAACGCACCCCACAACAGGTTTGGTGGTCATGTTCCACGCCGGCTTCGGTTCAGCGTCATCTCTCGGGCTCTTGCGTTTGGGGGCATCGCTCTGGCCCGGCATCTTGGAAGACGGCTCCTCCTCGTGGTGGCCGCTCTGCTTGTCCGCTCCCTTTCCTCCGGGCCTCTCCCTGTCGATGCGACTCCTGCACGTGACTCCGGTGTTGCTGTACTCTGCGGGGATGTGCGGCGTGGCGGGAGGGCGCGTGGAGTCCGCAAAGACGCGGCCCGTTCCGTCGCCGCCCCTTGCCGATCTTCCGGTGTCCGCATCTTTAAAGCAACCAGCCAAAGGTAAGAAAAGTAAATATTTATATTTATTACAAAACTCTGGGCAACAAACGTGAAAAAGGGTGTTCCTTTTCGATTTAAAGCTTTCGTGACTGCAGGGATTCATCTTCTTGGTTCTTTCGGTAAAGTCACGTAGAAGGGAAGTAATAAAATAATTGTGAGAATTATATTATTTTATTATGTTTTATTATTTTATTATTTTATTACTTCCCTTTTAAGTGACTTTACCGAAAGAACCAAGAAGAAGGGTGTTCCTATATGAGGTGCAAGCTGCAAGTTCACGTAGTAGACAGCAGAGGGCAGGGCAGCAATCCATTGCTGTACAATTTGGGCGTGCCAAGAAATAATTAAGAAATAATTAAATACTGCGCACGCTTCAAGTTGAAACACATTCTTGCATTGCGGGCAACTACTACCTAACCATACCAGTCAGTCTGGAAACCCAACATCCCTGCTATAGGAAGGTGGAATCGTGGGGATATTGTGATCAAAGGGGACCAATTACTGAAAAGGGGTGGGGGTCAAATTAAAGACACGTTCACATTGCAACTCCACTGTCAGAAACAAATGCACAACAATGTTATATGATTACAACATTAGTAGATTACAGCAACAAATCAACAAAATGTATTATACAGCACCAGGCCACCAGCCATTAGTATAAATAACAACACAAATAAAACACACTTCTAAAACATTGCATCTTTTGTTTATGGCATCTTAAATTGTTTAAAATTCACTTGCAGCTACCTGGGTTCACACCCAGGATCTCTGCGGTTCCAGCCCAGCGCTCAGGCATCCGAGTCAGCTGGTGATTTAAGATAAATGAATAATTCTACTAATTATCAAAGAACATTTAATGAAACATTTCAAGGAATCTTTTCAAAATGCCAATCCATCCCTTTTTCAGCCGTAAAATGAAGATAATTACTTGCTCAAGCCACTGATGGTGGAAGAGCCTCCGCCGGAGGGGGCTGCAGAGAGCCCTTCTCAGGAGTATTTTGCCTACTCTTCCAGGCTGGCCAGATATCTTGGACGAGGGAGTGCCCACAAACACACACACACAGCCTGCCGATCGACTCTCGTGTACAAATGTATACCGCTGGGTGGACAGAGGAAGAAGGGGAGTTTAAGAAACATGCCGATAATTTCAACTGCCACGTCGAGAGAGGCCCCAGGGCAGCCCCTGGACTGTAAGCCCGGTGTGCGAACTATTACACCGACACAGGCGTACCTTCATCGATATGTAGTGTGTCCAACTGAGCCGTAGACGTTGCTCCTTTTAGAGGCTACACTTTAATTTGTAACGCCGTAACACAAAGAGGTAATTGCCCCTTGACCAGACTACACCCTAGGGTGGTGACCACTCAGCTAACTACACTATTACAGAGGAGTTACTGCTACGAAGGGTCGGGTCTCCGACCACGTGGTCCCTCGTAGGACGAAGCGCTTCCAGCTTGAGACGTAGAGCTTCCAGCTTCCAGATGTTGAGCTTCCAGCTTGTAGAATGCAGCGACCCCAGTCCCTCTCAGGGACCCGCCTTATATCCCCCCACGGTCGGGGCCGCTCCGCCCTCGGCCCCGCCCGCCTTCTTGAACATTCTCGTTTCCTCTCGATCCTTCTCAAGAGCTCTCTCCGGACACATAATCACCCACTAGCCCCCCCCCCCCACCTGGGGCACCCTGTGTGGACATTCTGGATCACGTGTCTACGGGGTCAACCAGACTGCCACGGCCCGGGGCAACCCTGCCCCTGGGTTGATACTCACCCCCTCCCCCTCGGGGGAGCCCCCACCACACGCTGTACGTGGTGCCTGCACTGTCCCCGTGCTCGCCAAGCCCCGCTAGGGCTGGTGCGAAACACAGCCACCCACACGGTGCTGTCCACACTAGGGCTGGTGTTACACACAGCCACCCACACGGTGCTGTCCACGCTAGAGCTGGTGTTACACACAGCCACCCACACGGTGCTGTCCACACTAGGGCTGGTGTTACACACAGCCACCCACACGGTGCTGTCCACACTAGGGCTGGTGCTACACACAGCCACCCACACGGTGCTGTCCACACTAGGGCTGGTGTTACACACAGCCACACACACGGTGCTGTCCACGCTAGGGCTGGTGTTACACACAGCCACCCACACGGTGCTGTCCACGCTAGGGCTGGTGTTACACACAGCCACCCACACGGTGCTGTCCACACTAGGGCTGGTGTTACACACAGCCACCCACACGGTGCTGTCCACGCTAGGGCTGGTGTTACACACAGCCACCCACACGGTGCTGTCCACACTAGGGCTGTGTCACACACAGCCACACACACGGTGCTGTCCACACTAGGGCTGGTGTTACACACAGCCACCCACACGGTGCTGTCCACACTAGGGCTGGTGTTACACACAGCCACCCACACGGTGCTGTCCACACTAGGGCTGGTGTTACACACAGCCACCCACACGGTGCTGTCCACGCTAGGGCTGGTGTTACACACAGCCACCCACACGGTGCTGTCCACACTAGGGCTGGTGTTACACACAGCCACCCACACGGTGCTGTCCACGCTAGAGCTGGTGTTACACACAGCCACCCACACGGTGCTGTCCACACTAGGGCTGGTGTTACACACAGCCACCCACACGGTGCTGTCCACGCTAGAGCTGGTGTTACACACAGCCACCCACACGGCGCTGTCCACGCTAGAGCTGGTGTTACACACAGCCACCCACACGGTGCTGTCCACACTAGGGCTGGTGTTACACACAGCCACCCACACGGTGCTGTCCACGCTAGGGCTGGTGTTACACACAGCCACCCACACGGTGCTGTCCACACTAGGGCTGGTGTTACACACAGCCACCCACACGGCGCTGTCCACGCTAGAGCTGGTGTTACACACAGCCACCCACACGGTGCTGTCCACACTAGGGCTGGTGTTACACACAGCCACCCACACGGTGCTGTCCACGCTAGGGCTGGTGTTACACACAGCCACCCACACGGTGCTGTCCACACTAGGGCTGGTGTTACACACAGCCACCCACACGGCGCTGTCCACGGTAGAGCTGGTGCTACACACAGCCACCCACACGGTGCTGTCCACACTAGGGCTGGTGTTACACACAGCCACCCACACGGTGCTGTCCCCACTAGGGCTGGTGTTACACACAGCCACCCACACGGTGCTGTCCACACTAGGGCTGGTGTTACACACAGCCACCCACACGGTGCTGTCCACGCTAGGGCTGGTGCGAAACACAGCCACCCACAGGGTGCTGTCCCCCCTAGGGCTGTGCCACACACAGCCACCCACACGGTGCTGTCCCCGCTAGGGCTGGTATTACACACAGCCACCCACACGGTGCTGTCCACGCTAGGGCTGGTGTTACACACAGCCACCCACACGGTGCTGTCCACGCTAGGGCTGGTGCGAAACACAGCCACCCACAGGGTGCTGTCCCCCCTAGGGCTGTGCCACACACAGCCACCCACACGGGGCTGTCCACACTAGGGCTGGTGTTACACACAGCCACCCACACGGTGCTGTCCACACTAGGGCTGGTGTTACACACAGCCACCCACACGGTGCTGTCCACACTAGGGCTGGTGTTACACACAGCCACCCACAGGGTGCTGTCCCCCCTAGGGCTGTGCCACACACAGCCACCCACACGGGGCTGTCCACACTAGGGCTGGTGTTACACACAGCCACCCACACGGTGCTGTCCACACTAGGGCTGGTGTTACACACAGCCACCCACACGGTGCTGTCCACGCTAGGGCTGGTGTTACACACAGCCACCCACACGGTGCTGTCCACGCTAGGGCTGGTGTTACACACAGCCACCCACACGGTGCTGTCCCCACTAGGGCTGGTGTTACACACAGCCACCCACACGGTGCTGTCCCCCCTAGGGCTGTGCCACACACAGCCACCCACACGGTGCTGTCCACGCTAGAGCTGGTGCTACACACAGCCACCCACACGGTGCTGTCCACGCTAGAGCTGGTGCTACACACAGCCTCCCACACGGTGCTGTCCACACTAGGGCTGGTGTTACACACAGCCACCCACACGGTGCTGTCCCCGCTAGGGCTGGTGTTACACACAGCCACCCACACGGTGCTGTCCACACTAGGGCTGGTGTTACACACAGCCACCCACACGGCGCTGTCCACACTAGGGCTGGTGTTACACACAGCCACCCACACGGTGCTGTCCACGCTAGGGCTGGTGTTACACACAGCCACCCACACGGTGCTGTCCACGCTAGGGCTGGTGCTACACACAGTCACCCACACGGTGCTGTCCCCGCTAGGGATGGTACTACACGCAGTCACCCACACGGCGCTGTCCCCGCTAGGGCTGTGTCACACGCAGTCACCCACACGGCGCTGTCCCCGCTAGGGCTGGTGTTACACACAGCCACCCACACGGCGCTGTCCCCGCTAGGGCTGGTGTTACACACAGCCACCCACACGGCGCTGTCCACGCTAGGGCTGGTGTTACACACAGCCACCCACACGGCGCTGTCCACGCTAGGGCTGGTGTTACACACAGCCACCCACACGGCGCTGTCCACGCTAGGGCTGGTGTTACACACAGCCACCCACACGGCGCTGTCCACGCTAGGGCTGGTGTTACACACAGCCACCCACACGGTGCTGTCCACACTAGGGCTGGTGCTACACACAGCCACACACACGGTGCTGTCCCCCCTAGGGCTGTGCCACACACAGCCACCCACACGGTGCTGTCCCCCCTAGGGCTGTGCCACACACAGCCACACACACGGTGCTGTCCCCCCTAGGGCTGTGCCACACACAGCCACACACACGGTGCTGTCTCCGCTAGGGCTGGTGTTACACACAGCCACCCACCCGGTGCTGTCCCCGCTAGGGCTGGTGTTACACACAGCCACCCACACGGTGCTGTCCCCGCTAGGGCTGGTGTTACACACAGCCACCCACACGGCGCTGTCCACACTAGGGCTGGTGTTACACACAGCCACCCACACGGTGCTGTCCACACTAGGGCTGGTGCGAAACACAGCCACCCACACGGTGCTGTCCACGCTAGGGCTGTGTTACACACAGCTACCCACACGGCGCTGTCCACGATGTAGGAACATCGAACGGCACGGCCCTTCCGAGCCGGCACCATACAGTGACATCCCCGATGTCACTGCAGATATACACAGCACAGCTTTCCAGACTACAAGCACGTTAAGTAATAATCTGGTCAAACCTGTCTGCACAGCCATGTCCTTCATGGACGACTCTGGTTCGTGGACACGCAGAGTTGAGCGGGAGTGACCATCCCTCTGCCGAACCGTTTCTTCCTCCACGGCCACGTAAACTGGGCCGTCACGAGTCGGCATCCCTTGAAATTGAGAGTAAAGCAAGGGTTATATGTCGACTATGAGTGTTCAAATGAATGATATAAAATACAAGGTGTATTTGGCAACTTAAAATTAAGCATATAAATAAATTTTACTATAAAATGTACGTTAAAGAAACATTAAGCTGTGTACATACGATACATGTATGCTATTTTTATGGTGGGCGTTAACTTGTGTTCACATTACAGAATTATTCTGGTAATATGGAGGTTGATGTTCAATTCAGGAAATTTTAAGACAATATTAAATTACTTTCTGCATTTTATTGATTTCTTGGATTTTTTTAAAGATGCTTATGCAGCTTCAAGTGAAATGTCATATCTAATTGTTCAAGTCAGTTGTGAGAATTGTTCTTCAACTTACTGGTGAGCTGAAACAATAAATAACTGGCCGAAAGAATACATAATCGGCGAGTTAAACGCCTATATTGTTTTTTGGCTACGTTTGGTGTTGGAGTATTTTAAACGACACAAATTTGGCAAGAGCAATGTTACCTTAACCCAAAAATCTATTATGGATCATCAACATGAAATGATTTGTCTTGTGCCCTCCTCTGGCCAGTGTTCGTTTGCTCTGGCGTGTGCTCCTTTCTTTAATTAACATACCAATATTCAACCACTGACCTTCCCTGCTGCGACGGAGGTTGGAGACGTCATGCCCTTTGCGAGCCAGCTCCCTCATTCTCTGCTCCTGCTTATCACGGAGGGCCTCCTCCTGAGCCCTCTGAACACTCTGGTACAGGTTCTCCGTCTTCCTGGTCCGATTCTCCTGCACGGGAAAAACAGGAGGCCCACAAATGAGTAAGGCCCAGACATGCTTTACGTTTGTATGTATGTTGAACTTCTTTCGCACCGTACGTAGCCAACCGTGCTAATCTGAGGTGGGGAGTAAGGACAATAACATTTCCAACACACCGGTGTTCAGTATTAGTAACGAATTGGCATGTTCTGTCCACGAGACAAAACCTGACTAACGGCGGTGTCGGGTGGTGCCGGTTTTAATGACACATTTACATTTACACGATTTAACCCAAAAACGTAAATTGTGGATATTGGTCACGAAAGCATACATGTTAGGCTGTGATCATCCGGCAACAGAATCAACGCTTTAGAGCCAATCGGCATTTGTTCATATACCATGTGCATATTCAGGGCCTAGAAAACTCAACAACACCAAGGCTGTTAAAGTCATTCACTGAAACACAAATGCAGCGCGTATTTTTCATTCTTCGCCAAAGTGTGAAAAATCGCCGCACCTCTTTTTGCCGCAGCTTGGCTTGCTCCTCCTTAAACTGGTTGTTAAGGCGATGACGTTCCTCGGCGATCCTCCTCTCCGCCTCCTCCTCCTCGTACCTCCGTCGCTCGTCCTCCAGGAGCTTCTGACGACGTCGTTCCTCCACCTGGCTGGCTATCGCTTTCTGAAAACAACGCGCGACGTTGCACGCTCAACTGCAGTAACCAATTTAACAACAACAACAGGTTAACGGGCTCTCCGACTGTGCCTTTGACCACGTGCTGTTCGACATGTCCACACATCATACAACCCGAAAACACATCACAGAGCTATGCAGCACAAACTGTGAATCTGTGAAAACATACACTTTAAATGCCCCTTCATATCATGTGTCATTTCATTGAAGTGGTTAATTGTGATCGCTGCTTAATATTAAGTTGTCCTTTTAATTTCTTATTTATTGTTTATTTCCTAACCAGCAAGGAGTAGTGGTGCAGTGGTTAGCATATTGCATGAAGAACCCGGAGACCTCGGTATGATACCTGGCCATGGCTGACTCCAGCGGTGAGTGATATCAGAACGAGTCCTGGGCGCTCCCTTTCACCAACTCGCAGCAACCAGGGTGCCGAATTATGATCAGACAAACCTCAAGACTGACAACACATGGGGCAGTCTTCATCGAGCAGTGGATTGAAAAGGGACTATACAGCTTACATTACTTTAAGCAACTTGTCACTGCTCCATCCCCACCCATTATATTCTAATCGCACGCATTTGTGCCCATCAGTACTATACATGTGTAGTGACTGACTTGGAGACACTAAGAGTAGGAGGCACTCTGTTTATTAACACGGCCTGACTATTAACACTTCGTAACTACGGTTCCCAGGCAGGACAGCTGGTAGACTGCCTGACTGGCGACGCCGAGACGGTGAAGACTCCAACAGCACCACGACGGGGACCCCACTCCACACGACAGCCCCGAGCTCCCCTACCGGGGCCCCTCTTATGTCAACGTGGCCTGGCTCCACCCCCGGTCACGCCCCCTTCTGGAACCTACTAGCGGGTTCTCGACGGGCCCTTTCCGTGACCCTTCCTCTAGATCCCTCTCTGGTCTATCACGTGGCCTGCTGTCAGTCAGGGCTGCTGTAAGCTGCAGATCCCATTCCCTGCCAGCAGGCAGCGCTATGCTGCCACGTGACAGATTCTATGTCACTATACATGGACCAAACATAAGAATAATACCATATTTTAAATAAGCAATATGTTGAGCTATTCGTGCAAGAATGTAAAAAAATAAATTGTGCCTAATACCTGATGCTCCAGCTGTTTTAGCCTTTGTCTTTCCCTCTCATCAATCTGAGCTGGATCCAGAAGGGCTGTCATTGTTCTCAAGTGGCTGAAAGTCAAAACAACAGTGAAAACCAAGGTGACAATAACTAAAAAAACAATCTGAATGTCATCTGCGGTTCACGTGTGTCTTGGACTCTGCGGGTTTCACACACTTGTTACGCACGTGTCGTTCAACAATTGGGGCTCCTTCCAAGGTGTAATAGCACAGTGGCCTTGTTATCCAGAGGTCGCCGGTTCCATTCGATCTTTTGGCGTGGCAGTTGAAACAATGGTTTTTCCCTCCACGTGCGTTTAAGAGTATTTTGCTGCTGTAAATTTCCAGGTGGTAAGCCACTTCGTTGAGCTATCATTTGTGGCCAGGTCACTTCCGAAAAAGAGCTGTATAGCTCAGTGTATCTTACCTGATCAAATAAAAATATATATTTTTTTAAATAAATCGGTGCACCACATTTTGTCGATTGGCAGGTGGCATGTGGTGGGGTCAAGTGTGTGTACTCCTACCTCACCCAAGTTGTCATGGCCAGTGTGGAAGTGTAGGCCAACTACCCTCTACAGCGACCTCCGAGTGAAGACCCTGCCGCCAGTAGTGGCTTGAGAATTGTAGGGCTCCACCTTTCACCCTTGAAGCACGATTAGCGTGGCTCCATCAATGTCGACGTTCTTATTTACCTGTTTCTCGGCGAAGGAAGCTTCGAAGCATCGGTCAAGGGCACATGAGGACTGTGGAGTGCATCCTGGGGATGAAATGTCCTCCCCGCATCGAGGCGGACCGAAGTTACCGCACCGTGGGTTTCAGCCTGCGCAACAGAGGGCTTCTGGCTGAACGAATCAAAGTGCGCCTCCCATTTTCCTTGATCCGCTTCCTGTGGATAAAGAAGGCATTCTGCATAAGCCCGCATGAGCTTGCATAAGCCACAATTAAGTGTACCAAATCGATTCCGTCCCTTAATCATCAAAGCGGGCATACATGTCCCAACGATAACACGGCAATGGCAAGTAACTTGAAAATGACATACAGCAAGGTGACATAACTCGCCAGAGGCAACTTTATGATGGGAGAGGGTAAAAAGAAGGATCAAGCGCTCCAAGAAATTAGAAAGTCAGAATTATATAAATTGCCCGCAGTTTTTGGCAAAAACACAACAGTCGTATGTCGTGTGCTATCAGCCCGATAGCAGTGCGCAATAACCCCAAGTTGTGGGTTTGCGCAAAACTACATATATTGAGACTCACGCAAAAACTATATGATAGGTACACACATTGTCCAGGTGGTAATGCTGATCTGTGCACCAGCACACCTGAGTTCCCATGTACAAGCAATCGGCTCAGGTGTCACAGTCACTGTGGGTGTACGGACACCCCCCCCAACATATTTAAATATGGCTAAGAGACACCCAAAACATCTTGGTCAAAAATCGTGGGTTTCTTCAGTCTGCATTTTCGTGATCCTTCAATTAGGATATGTAAATGCTGAACGTGCCGATGACAGAGGGATTAAACAAACAGAAGCGCATGCACAGTAGGCTCAGTACTGAGGCAGTCACCGGTAGATGAGCAGATCATAATGCAGTAGAACTCCTCTTATCTGTGACAAAGTGCGGGGGCAGAATTCCATCTGTAATCTGGCCAATGACCAGGAATCCCCCAACTCCCATACTATGGGTCTCTCCCCACATGGGATTGGGAAGCTCTCCGGCTGTTAGGAAGCTCATAATGACCATGTTAGTGCTCCGATTAAGCACACGTAAGCCCTAGGACAGGGTGTACTTGATGCCTATATTAGAGCACTGATTCAACACTACTAATAACCTATGTTAAAGCCTCGGGGTTGGGTGTCAGAGGATTCAGAAATGTCAAGTCAGCACCGGTGCGCTGAGATTATTATCGTGCTATACCATGGAAAGATTGCACAATATGGCGATTGCACAGCCAGAATGACAATTGATTAGGACCACGTGATGCAGGGCAACATCACATGGGAGTAAAATGTTGGGCGTCGTGCTGAGCAACGCGCGGTACAACGTGGAAACACATCGGAGAGCTACACAGTACAACCGCAAAAACCTAAGCGGTCATCAAGCTAGAATTTAGGGTAATGCTAGATTTCTTGCAGCGTATGAAGTGGATCGGTGGCTGAGATGATTAAAAGCACGTCAGAGCACAGAGTTGGCACTGCTAACATTTTTGAATAAAATCCATGCAACCAACCATGAATAAATCTGTTCATCAAGTGGTGGACTTAGGCTGGACATCAAAGGCAGAACTAAAAAAATAGTTGAAGTACATTTTGTTCACTTCATTCGGCATATATATCCAGCTGCGTGGACAATTTTTTTAAAATAATTATTTTGATAGCCACAAGACTCGCTCCTCCACAACAGGTCACATGAGAGAACGGGCAAATGAAGGGATCTCATAAGTAGCTCAGTGATGTCACCTCCATAGCCATACTCGAATGCACTGCTGTGGCATGACTGATAGAGAAACTGGAATATGATTTGGACAAAAACACAACAACATTTAAAATAAGCAATGTCTATAGCTCAAACGATGAACTCTGGAGAGTGTGAGAGTGTGTGTATTTTTTGTGTGGTAATGCAGCGATTAGCGCACTGCACTATGAAGCTGGTGACTCAAGTTAAATTCCCACTAATAACCAATAACAGTGTTGAATATTTGAACCAGGACCGGGCCTCCCCTATATTGACTCAGCCTCAAATGAGTACCTGGATGCGGTGTGCCAACATCAACATTGGGTAGACAAAGACGGCCGCGCATGGTACTAGCGACCCACCCCCTCATGTGCCGTGCCCGACTTAATAGACGCTCAGTAGCAGCACGTGCCCGAGTAGTCTGTTGGAGGCTATACGGGGGATCTTTGTGTGTCTGTAATAATACTCTTGGAGACGACTTGTTGAATCGGTCCTTTTATTTATTCCAGTTCACAAGTACTCCCCGCTGCTGGCAGGCAACGGGAAGTGGGCAGACAGACCACAAGAAACGCACCGCCACGTGGCACTCGGAGCCCCGCTCGCGCGTGGCCCCTCTCTTCCTTCGTTCTTCGTCTGACCACGTGTCGTTCATCTCTCCCCTTATTTAATGCCTGGGTCACGTGGTACGCTCCAGCCAATCCTTGGTAGCCTGCGCCGAATCTTCTAGATTCCCCATCAACTCCCGGGACCATGCCCCTGACTTGTCTTCCCATTGGCTGAGGCCAAGACCAGCAGAACCAATCACCCTAGCTGGCACCCCTTGATCACGCCAGGGCCATGCTCCCAGGCTCTCCCCCCATTGGCTGTAAAACAGGACCGGCAGAGCCGATCACCACGTGAGCCGGACATAGGCTCTTATTACATGTCTGTGTGGAGGAGAGTACTCACCCCCTTGAGCCAGATTTTCTCTTGCTGTCTGCGCATGCGCTGCTCTTCCCGCTGGTGCTCCAGCTCCTCTCGCCAGCGCTGCTGCTTCTCCCTATTGGAGGCGCTGAAAGGTTTATCCCTGGGGGCTGCCTCCTGTTAATCCCAAAGAGAGATGTTAAATATGATTTGGGTCTTTCGGTAAAGTCACGTAGATAGGTTCAAAGAAAATAACAAAAAAACTACGACGTTTCGATCGCAACACAAGCGGTCGTCATCGGATGTTAAATGCCTGTAATATATATTCACTAACGAAACGAATGCATTCACGTAGAGTACATGCAACACAATGCTGGTTAGATTTAGAGGCACTTAATAGCAAAAGCAAGCTGTAAAAAAAGCTGAAAGATGTATAAAAACAAGTACACACACTAATTAACGGAGTGGGTGAAACTGCGCCAATATGCAATGGTTGGCGCAGTTTCAGGCTGCGTTCCCACTTGTAAATGTGTTTCCCACGACACTCAATCATTATCTCTCTCTCTCTCTCGGAGCGTGAACGCAAAGTGTGTGCGTTAACACATTTTTAATAATTGTGTGGATTGGATCCATTCTCAGTGGTGAAAGCTTAATTAAGCAAGTCCTGGAATGCAAGGATGCTGGGACAGATGCCAAGAGACAAGAGAAGAAAAGTTCTGGCTGATGACGTGAAATTAAGCAGCAAAAGAAAGCCCAATATCAGACAGATTGTAGGGAGTTTGAGCAAAAGTCCCGGCCATTGGGCCGAGGGTTAAACAACAGAAGGTGGAATAGAACATGGACAAGTTACGGCCATTTTTGACACTCCACTGCTTCCTGAGGGCCTACCCACACCGTGCGGGTCATGGGAGTCATTTAACCATGCCTCGCCACCCTGGTCAGTGCAGGATGGTGAAGGCAGCAAGCATACACGTGGGAGCATATAAAAAATACAGTGCAACAATGGATTTTGCCTTACTGCTTTCTGCTGCCCATCACATAGCCCCGTGATATCTATGACAACCTGTTTGATAGACGCTGGTCACCTATCCAAGGACTTTGCACGCTCGATCCTGCTTAGTTTCCGATAATTTGGTAATATACTTTCATATTTATGCAAGGTATAAAGTATGTGTAATACAGGAACTCTCTCTCAGGTGTCGATCTCCGTTGTCCTTTATTGGATTCGTAGAATCTCGTTACCACGGCGTCCTCGCTCAGGCCCGCGTCTCTCCCGACGATCTCTCCACAGCCCCTCGGCTGCGCCGATATGCAGTCTCCCTGCTGCTCCGATATGCAGTCTCCCTGCTGCTCCGATATGCAGTCTACCTGCTGCCCCACCTTGCAGGCACACCGCTGCTCCGCTCTCAAGCTTTACTGCTGCCCCGTACACAGCTAGCCTCCTACAGCCGCTAGCTCTCTGCGTCTGACACCGATGGCTGACGGTGTCGACGTCTCCCACCGCGTGGCGACCGCGCCACTCTCTCCGTCCTGCCCAGCGTGGCCTGACTGGCCTCCTCCTGTTTCACTCCGTCTCAACTCCCCTTTCCCCTTCCGGTTCTCCCCCTAAATCCTCTCTCCCACGTGACCCTAACTCCACCCACTCCCCACGTGACCCAGACTCCGCCCCCCCTCAATCCTTGCTCGCATTACATATGCATCTTGAAAGTACTCACCCCAATGACAAAGGAAGAGCGAATTGCTGCGGGAAGGTCACTGGAAGCAAAGCTCTGTGTCTGCCCCATTGCCACGGAGTCCTGGGCAGTGTTCCTGCCACCACTTGCTGTCCCCTGGGCGGATGTTGCAGGCACTGTCAAGTAGCCAGATTCTGGCTGATGTGCTGGAAGGTTCAAAGTGGCCTGCAGCTGCAGACACAGGCGGATAAAAAGTACGAAAAAGATTCTCATTTTTTATTGGCCCAAGGGTGGCCAGACTACAGCACGGCAATTGGAATTGTCCTACGAGTTGCTGAGCCATTTAAGCACCGTAAAAATGCACATCCTGATCCTGAAATGAAATGTATAATTATCTTTATAATCACAAGCTAGCCCGTCAATAGCAATAACAAGTCAAGTTTGAACTTTGCAATTAAAGCATACATTTGCTCTTTCAAAAAATTATGATTACTACCAACATCCAACCGGATGGCACAATGTCAGAACGAGCGGCTCGCAATCCGAAGGTTGCGAGTTCAATTCCTGATTGGGCTGGACTCATCCCATGATCCATGCAGGGTCGATAAAATGAGTGCTACTTTGTGGGGAAGTCAACAATGTTGACCTATGCATCGACTCGCCTCCGCCAAAGCATATAAAAAGGAGATGCTCAATTGAGCAAGAAATCACAAAATGTTTTTTTACAGGAGATATAATAAAACAAATCACTTACAATGATCAAATTCACACAATGTATGAAATATGAAGTCTGGTCACCACTACTACATGACTTCATTAAATAATTAATTTACGTCATATTGTCAACTAAAGTTATTTCATAGTCAGCTTTCAGCAATTATAGATTCACATTCACAACATACATCACATCATTTGCAGCGTGGACAAGTGTCCACTTTTGCAGCGTGGATAATGGGAAAGTGGTGAAAAACTTTGTGTAAAAGATAGAACTTGTTGGCACTATCATGCACATGGGGCGAGCTAATCATTGGCACTAATGTGACTGCGAGAAGCATGAAATGGAATGTAATTTGAAACCCAATGGTGCCCTTTGAAAACACCGAGGATAAGCAGTCTTTGGCATACCTTGGAGTGATCTTTATAGAAGATTGAAAACTGGATAAGGAGTTTTACAACAAAAAACATTAAAAAACCATGCAATGAGAAAAGTGTGATTTGAGTAAGATATTTGTTCATATATTGGTATTTGCCACACAAAAAAAATCTATTTGTGATTTCCATATGCCGAATGCATAAAGGGGTGACTATTAGAACATTTACTTGCAGGCACTACTTATAAAAAGTGGTTATTTCAATACCAATTACATCAAACCATTAAAAAAAACGGATGAGAACTCCCTCGAACTAACTTTAAAATCCAACGATGAAGCTCAAGTTTTCAACTGATTCTGATCGACAGCTTAGATGATCCTCTTGTATTCCATTGAGCATACCTTCTGATTGAACGTGGTCAGCGGCTGTCCGGTGGCTGATAAGACCGGAGCTCCTGCCCCTGGCTTCCCAAAGGGGTTCCACTCTTCCCTGACCTCCAGCTCCTGTTTCTTCCCACTGTTTTTCAGCGCCAGTTGTTGATCTGAAAATATGCCGCAGGAAATAAAGAGACGCGACAAAGGGATGTGTGTGGAATTTTAATACGTGGTACACTGCACAAAAGCATTTAGGCTTCCCTTTGAATCTGACTGAGCATTTGCCCTCACTTTGAGTTTCATTTTATTACACTGGTCAACACACTTTTTCTGGCATAAGATATTCCAACGGTTTATAAGGTAATTTTGGGGTGCTGATTACAAATCTGGCATCAGTTTTTGTCTCTCACATCAGGTTTTTGAGATATCAAATATTGCATTTTCAATAACAACTGCAGAAGAAAAATATTTAATAAATGTGGATATCTACATTAAATTATATTATAAACACACTATCCTAAAAATACAGCACCATATTTTAACACTAAATCAGTCACTGACTCGCAACAACTTGCAATCATAAGTGACAGAGTTAATTTCGGGTAAAATCAATGAAAATGGGGTATGCCGATAGCATAAAATGAGATGTGATAGAGCAAATCTGAGATCAGATTTGGAATCAGCACCCTGAAATTAGTCTAAAACAGCTGCAAAAGTCCAGGCCAGAAAAAAATGGTTTTTTTTTGTTGACCAGTGTAATTGCATTCCATTGACAATTCCAAAATGCAAGTTCACCGTTAGGAAAAATGCACATGCAGTACTTATGTATGTTGAACTTCTTTCGCACCGCACGTAGCCAACAAAGCTAATCGGAGTTACGGGGGAAGGACAACAAACTAAACACAAACAGCCGTTCTCAAGTAATTCGTTTTCAATTTACATTTAAAAGTGCATAGCTCCGGTGGCTTCCTAATATCGGAAGGAAGAGCATTCCAGATGGCTGCAGAAGCTCATCTGAAAGCTTGCGATGCAGTGACCGTCTTTGTTCAATGGTTAGCCAAAAGCCACTGCTGTGAGGATGACCAGAGTTTCACGTGAGTAATCATTGCAATTAATTGTCAACCCACTCATGGATGAAGGCCTCACCAAACCGTGTCATGGGGATGCTTGTCTGACCATACATACTTCACCACACTGTACGGTGCAGGTGAGTGAAGAGGGGATGAGGCCTAGTGCTCGTTCAAATATCACTTGCCACTGCTGTTAGCCATGGCTGGGAACCTATCTCTGGTCGATGGATTCACAGTGCAATGCGTTAACCACTGTAGCACCATTCATATTCTGGAAAAACACAAATCTTTGTATTCGTACAGCATACGTTCTTTTATAATAAGTGTAAAATGCTCAATGCAACCATTATTGTTCAGTGCACGTGTATGTATGTAGCTGTGTGTGTGTGTGCAACAAAATGTGAATACATTACCCAGCTCTTTTTTCCACTGCACTTTCTTTTCCTGAAGTATTTCTCGGTCTTTCTCCCTCTCTCCCAACATACCAAAGACACTGCCCGATATTCCTTGCGTCTTCTCAAACGGAGCAGCCGAGCTTAAAGAGAAACAACGAAATGAAGCACCAGGTTAATTTAAATGATTGTAAGCAAGTCAGGGCCGATATTCCTTTCTTTAAGTTACCCCAATCAAACTAAAAGCCTCACAAAAAATAACATTTCAGATGCCTTTTCCAAATCGCTAAGCATAGGAGGGGTCCTTGTGTTGGCATTAAAATTACACTTCAAGACTCCATGGGTACAATGTTTAAAGTACACACTCAACTCTCAGTATATGTGTGCACTGATGCATCAGTCATTCGCAGGAGCAGGTAAACTCTGTTCAACCAAAAAAGAATGATAATGAAATCTAATGACATAAACAATTAATCTGTAGTGGCACTATTCGAAATTCTCCGCTCTACTGATAGCATATTTTATTTCAACAATCGTACACTCACAAAAGCAGTTCCTAAAGCATCCATAACCACTCAGTTGATTACCTTGAAGCATCTTCAGGCTTGGTTTCATTGTCATACTGAACAATATCCTTTTCCTTGTCCAGCTCTGTTTCCAAAGGTGCTGAACCTAAATTGTATACAAAAAGCATCACCTTATTTATCGTGATGTGTTGGATCAGTTTAACTCGTAGGCTTTCGCGACCAATATCTTCCATAATACAGTTTTTTTTGGTGTGCTAAACTATTAATTAATTGGCATGTTCTGTTTACGTGACACACCCTACTAATTGGCTGTGTTGGGTGGTGGCGGGTTTAACGACACATTTATATTTACACGGTCTAACCCCCCCCCCCCCCCAAAATAAAAACCTGTATTATGGATGTTGGATGTTACGAAAACAATTTAACTAATCTTTCAACATTTCAAGAAAAGACAATATCCATTGGGTAACCCTGGTTACTCCTCAGCCATAGCCTATGAAGTAGTTAATGAAAACATAATTCACTATTCATAAATAAACTAATAGATCAAGGTTTTTAATGCGGAGTGAATCTATATATATAAAATCGTTCATGTCTGTCTGTCTGTGTGTGTGTGTGTGGACTTTGGCCCATACGCACTTTCATTGGACGGCGGTTGCCCCTGGCAACGGCTAGCCACGCCTTCGCCGCTTTCATTGGACCTGGCAACGGCTAGCCACGCCTTCGCCAAGGGCTGCAGTTTCATTGGACGGCGGTTGCCCCTGCCAACGGCTAGCCACGCCTTCGCCACTTTCATAAGCTCCGTATTTAATTAAATAATAGCCATTACACAGTATTGTTGGAGCGCTAGGGGGGGGGGGAAGGAACGCCACCCGTACCCTGCCTCTTCCAAGCCGACAATTTTAGGCGAGGCCGCAGGCTTTGCACGCTACTAGGCCTCGACACCCACCACGCCACTCTGAGGTAAATTCATCAAAGTTTTTCCTACTCTTCACTACACCCCCACCACAATGTGTGCTATTAATATTACTTTTAAACCCAACGCGCCAACAATCGATTACTTTAATGTTCACTGTACAAATACTCATTAAGCTGGGTGAGCGTACTGCCAGTCTATCATGTACACTGTAGCCTGCTTATTAAGCTCGGTGAGCGTACTGCCACTCTATCATGTACACTCTAGCCTGCTTATGAAGCTGAGTGTGTGTACTGGCAGTCTATAATGTGGACTCTTGCCTGGTTATTATAATCGATTCTTTATATGTTCTTTGTACAAACAGTCATTAAGCTGCTTGAGCGACCCCAGTTCGATTCCAACTCACGCCCACCACCACTGACGATTATTAGAAACGGACCTGGCCCTCCCCTAGGTCCACTCAGCCTCAAAAGCGTAACTGCAGTCGTGTGTGAACATCGTCACTGGGGAGACAAAGGCGGCGGGGCATCGTGGATCCAAGTCCCGGGCGAAGCCGGGTCATGTGTATGTGTGTTTGTGTTTATGTGTATGTCTGTGTGTCTCTATGTATGTGTGTATGTATGTGTATGTATGTGTTTGTGTGTATGTGTGTGTATGTATGTGGGTTTTTTTTTATGTCTTTATGTGTATGTCTGCGTGTCTCTATGTATGTGTGTATGTACGTGTGTGCATGTGTTTGTGTGTATGTATGTGTGTGTCTATGTATGTGTGTGTCTATGTATGTGTGTGTATGTGTGTGTATGTATGTGTGTTATGTGTCTGTCTGTGTCTGCATGTATGTGTGTGTGTATTGTGTATGTGTTTGTGTGCATGTATGTGTGTGTTTGTGTGTATGTGTATGTCTGTGTGTATGTGTTTGTGTGTATGTGTGTGTATGTATGTGTGTGTATGTGTTTGTATGTGTTTGTGTGTTTACGCTCGCATTACACAAATGTGTTGCTGGTCTAAGGCGTTCCTCGCACAGCATTGCCGCTTTATTCTTTCAGTCGTTTACTGCCTTACGCACCCTGAAAGTCGTGTGTGTCTGCAGCAAGCGCGTGTATGTGTACCTATGGACGCGCGCGCGTGTGTTGTGTAGGGGGAGCGGTAGTGTAGTGGTTAGCGCGCTGCGCTATGAACCTGGCGACCCGGGTTCGATTCCCGCTCACGGCTAACACCAGTGACGATTATCTTAACCGGTCCTGGGCCTCCCCTAGGTCGACTCAGCCTTAAATGAGTACCTAGTGCGGTGTGTAAACATTGCCACTGGGGAGACAAAGGCGGTCGGGCGTGGTGCTGGCCACCCACCCCCTCGTGTGCCGTTCCGGCCTTCATAGGTGCTCGCTAACAGCACTTGCCCCTACAGTCTGTTAAGGCTATACTGGGGATCTTTGTATCTTTGTGTATGTGTTTGTATGTGTTTGTGTGTTTACGCTCGCATTACACAAATGTGTTGCTGGTCTAAGGCGTTCCTCGCACAGCATTGCCGCTTTATTCTTTCAGTCGTTTACTGCCTTACGCACCCTGAAAGTCGTGTGTGTCTGCAGCAAGCGCGTGTATGTGTACCTATGGACGCGCGCGCGTGTGTTGTGTAGGGGGAACGGTAGTGTAGTGCTTAGCGTGCTGCCTGTGTGTGTGTCTGTGTGTGTGTGTGGTGTGTGGGGAGCGGTAGTGTAGTGGTTAGCGTGCTGTCTGTGTCTGTGTGTGTCTGTGTGTGTGTCTGTGTGTGTGCGTGTGTGGTGTGTGGGGAGCGGTAGTGTAGTGGTTAGCGTGCTCTCTGTGTGTCTGTGTGTGTGTCTGTGTGTCTGTCTGTGTGTCTGTGTGTGTGTCTGTGTGTGTGCGCGTGTGTTGTGTAGGGGGAACGGTAGTGTAGTGCTTAGCGTGCTGCCTGTGTCTGTGTGTGTCTGTGTGTGTGTCTGTGTGTGTGCGTGTGTGGTGTGTAGGGGGAATGGTAGTGTAGTGCTTAGCGTGCTGCCTGTGTGTGTGTGTGTGTGTCTGTGTGTATGTGTCTGTGTGTGTGTGTCTGTGTGTGTGTGTGTGTCTGTGTGTGTGTCTGTGTGTGTGTCTGTGTGTGTGTGTCTGTGTGTGTGTGTCTGTGTGTGTCTGTGTGTGTGCGTGTGTGGTGTGTAGGGGGAACGGTAGTGTAGTGCTTAGCGTGCTGCCTGTGTGTGTGTCTGTGTGTGTGTGTCTGTGTGTGTCTGTCTGTGTGTGTGTGTCTGTGTGTGTGTCTGTGTGTGTGCGTGTGTGGTGTGTGGGGAGCGGTAGTGTAGTGGTTAGCGTGCTGTCTGTGTGTCTGTCTGTGTCTGTCTGTGTGTCTGCGTGTGTCTGTGTGTGTGTCTGTGTGTGTGTCTGTGTGTGTGTCTGTGCGTCTGTGTGTGTGAGGAGCGGTGGGTGTAGTGGTTAACGCTACGCTGCGCTACCAACCCGGCGAACCGAGTTCGATTCCCGCTCATGGCCACCACCGGTCAACATTATTTGAACCTCCCATAGGTCGACTCAGCCTCAAACGAGTAACTGGTGTGGCGTATTAACATCGCCACTGGGGAGACAAAGGCGGCCGGCCGTGGTGGATACAAGTCCCGGGCGAAGCCGGGTAGTACAGCTAGTGTTTATATATAAGTGTGTACTTTAAGAGAACATTTAGCTATTGAGTAACGTTTTAATACGACATACACCAACAGCAGATATACACCATTAACCAATGCCATTCAAGTCTGACTTCTGTAATTTTTCTTCAGGATAAAGCCAAAGAACAGAACACGTCTGCTACTTATAGGTGCCATTGAACCTGTGCGGCTTGGTGTCAATTCACTGCTGGATGAGGGCCTCTCCACTCCGTGCGGATGAGGGTTGTTTGACCACACCTCACCATATTGGTCAGTGCACGTTGGTGAAAGGCAGGGAGCGTAGTTGTTGGAGTAAATATTCTTAGGTTTTTTCGGTAAAGTCACGTAAGTAAAAAATAAATAATAAAAATATATAATACAATACTTGGAATAATAATAGAAATAAAATAATAAATCACGACGTTTCGGGCGCAACACAAGCGTCCGTCATCAGGTGGGACAACCACAGCAAGAAACAAATGCTGAAGTGGGCAAACAAATGCTGAAATGTTGGAGTAAAGTATAATACAAGCAGGAACTTTGGTGCACTACCCTCTGCTCCCAATGTGGCCCATCGTTTTAACTGCCGCGCCGGGCGATTGAATCGAACCACTGACCTCTGCATTGCAAGTCCAGTGTGCAAACCATCACATCCTGCCAAGATCCTCAACTAAACAGTTTTTTTTTATAACTTAACTCAGATAATTTTACATGATCCGTGTTTTTGTTTTATTCTTGCAAATCCCTCCGCCACCCATGAATCCAGAAATCGACGGTCGTTGGCCGTCTTAACTTATACGTGACTTACCGAAAGAACCAAAGAATAACACGGTTGGCAGCTCACCATCAGTGTTGCTGCTGTTCACGGATTGCCCGATGGATGCTAGAATCTGCTGCAGCTGTTCTTGGGTGAGGCACACTAAACCACTGCCGAAGCTCCCCGTCTGGGTGTTATCGCCATGCCCTCGCGCGTCTGCCGCCTTCACTGGCCTCCCGTTGGCAAGGCCGCGCCTATTGCATGCGACGAGGGAAAAGGACAGATTAGACACAAAAAACAGCAAGTTTATTTTGTTTAAACAGGTGGGAACTCAACACGCAAGAACGGTCACATTTGCGAAGGTGACACAGTCACCAAAGTGACATAAGCAATGATGTAAACGATGAAGCTAACATTAATCAGGGCGAAAACCATCAAATATAATTCACAGAAAAATGAACGTAACAGAAAAAATACACAACAGTGAGATGCGACGATGGGATGGTAAGCAGGTCGTGTAACAAAAGGCCTTCAATACGTTTTCAACACTATTAGGTGATAAGTATGTTCATAACAAGATCCCACTTGCTATTGTAAAAGGTCGTGTAACAAAGGGCATTCAATACGTTTTCAACACTATTAGGTGATAAGTATGTTCATAACAAGATCCCACTTGCTGTTCAATTGTAATTTACGTAGCAAATCATCACCCCCTACTGAAACATACTTGGCAGAACCATCCTGAAAAAGAATGAAGGGACTCAGCATGGCTTTCCTGGGTAAAAAACATAATTATAATAATAAATCCCACTATGCCATATAATTGCTTTAAGTTTTAGCAGTTGTGCTGTATAGCTCTCCAGTGTTTTCAAGTTACCGCCCATTGTCCGGATTGATGTCAAACATTTGGCTCAGTTCCTGAATGTTCCATTCCTGAAGTTCCAATCACGGGGAGCAATATGTTGAATATCGTACAGAACCGAAAATAACATTGGAGATCAAAATGGTAAATTTGTTTTTAGGCGCATTAATGCAAGCTTTAGGCTCTGTTTTAATTTTTCACTGCTGACAATAGTATTTAGGAGTGTAATTTTGCATAAATTTATAGATTTGAGTTTTCTATGCTCAGTATGCATGTGGCAAATTGCATAAGAACGGTTTTTTAACGTGTGTATGTCCCATGCAATGCTTTCACTTGATCTCCTAAGTCACTAAAATCCTTTACATAAAAAAAAAATGTACATCGAATTGAAGTGTGAGTCTAATCACATTCCTGACCAGTGACAAATCATTAATCGCGCAAAGGTAATGATTTGTTCCTGCACGTCTCCTGGAAATGACATCATGAGGGAAGTTACAAAATACGACTCTGATATTGCAACATTTCAAATGCTAGAAGAGAGAACTCGTACATAAACCTGCACATTATGAACAGTAAATCAAGTACCGTACCTCTGTTTCACTTCTTGCTGGGCTGTGTTTTTGTCCACCCTGCCTCTATTGTTCTTCCCCATCTGCAGACCATTCTGCTGAAGATTCTGTCCATTTTCGAGTACGATGGTCTGTCCATTAACAATGGCTCTTTGCTCTTTACTGTGTTGATTCGATTGCAGCAACTTGATTTGTGGGCCATTGGTACTTATATTCTGGTTGAATCTTGCCTTTTGAGTGTGATTGTACTGGACTGGACCCTGGTCTGCCTGTGGGTCACTGAGCCTTTCAGTTGGATTCGAAGTCCTCTGATCGATGTCCGCACGTCTCTGTGCAGCTTGACTATTCCCAAAGGGCGTGGGTTTTGGCCCTCTGCTTGAACTTCCATCACTTGCCGCTCCGAGCCTAACACTGCCATTATGTGCCTCCCTCACGAGCCTCGACCTAAATGGAGATCTCCGTTTCTTCAACTGGGAAGTGCCCTAAAATAAGCGTGTAAATTAGGGCACCATGCACAATACGTATCCGTTCATCACAGCAGGTAATGTACATTGTGAACAAATGGTGTTCTTCAGGCACAATGGTATGCTGCATTTCATATTTAAGTTCAGTTTAGGTTCAAGTTTAAGTTCAGCTATTCGACGAATTTGTTTTAAAACAAATAAAATAAAACAAAACATAAAAAAAAAATCATTAATAAGTAAAAGTGCATACACGTCTGGTGATGTACATGCTTGAAATTACAATGAGAGAGAAATAGGACTAATTGATTAAGAGAAAATATGCAAGTTCGAGAAAATGTATTGACTGTTACGAAAACTAAGTGGGCTTGCTTGGGCAGAACGCAGGGCTAGAAGAAATTATGATGATGATAGCCAGTGGCTTAGACTAACAACAGTGGTAGCCAAAGTAGAAACACGTCCAACTGAAACGTTTGCCGTGGAGATGGAGAAATGAAGTCAACTCATTTTCAGGCGCGAGATGGACTGTTGCATTGTAGAACTCTGAAGGATGAGCTCAGAAAAGCCTTATTCCAGCAGTGCATTCATCCTGGCTGATGATAAAATACTGCATTTAATTATTAAACGAAAAATAAGGGATTGCACTGATAGTAGTGTACAAGCACAAATAATAATAAAAAAAACTGTCCAATATTGGAATGGAAACTTAACATCAGAATGAAATGGTACACATTTTAAATTCAACAGAATGTAAATGGCAATGCATAAGCCTATGCTTTCTGTATAATTACCTTTGCAGTTTTATTTAAGGGTTCATCTGTAAGAGGAAAAAAAACATCTTCATTCGGTTTTGAAAACAGGATTATATTACCATTTATATTTTACAAACAGCACACTGTACACATTCTAATGTGCAGGATAACCATATTTACCAGATTATAAGATGCTCTGGAAAGTGAGACGCACCCAAAATTAATGCTCGGTGTCAAAAAAGTTATACGATTCACTCACATACACACATATAACTGATTAAAACGTACATCTTCAAGGTTTGCTTCAAAATACTTGAGAAAATTGCATTTAAATCTGCAAAATAATAGCCAGTAAAATATTTTTTACCATGAAATGCTATCACAAGCCTTGTCTTGCCATCCAATGTCTGGGTTTCTAACTTCAGACCATCCCTGCAAATCAACACACACATTTTCAGTGGACTTTACTACGTTGCAGGCAAGAACAAACAACACATAATAAAACAGGACCCTGCGGGGTGGGCTGGTAGGAATAATACTTAGTACCGGTACAGAGATATCGACCGAGTATAGAGGAGTTAAAGAAAAAATTACTGTATTCTAGTGTAACGTTAATTAAAAGTGTTTGTTTTGACAAGAAACGCTGTGAGATTTAAAGACTCGTAGTCTTTCATTTCCAACACCACCCTCAACACCACCCCTCCCACGGACGGACGGACGGACGGACACATTAATCTATTGGTGGTCTGGTCCACTTCGTTCCTACCAGTATAATGTATATGTAGAGTCCTTTCTCAGTCTACTGATGGATGCGGGACACTCCCCATGGGACCAGTTGGTGGAGGTCATTGTACCATACTTCACCACGCTGGTCAGTGTGGGTCGTAGATGGGAACCATAGGCGTGGGAGCATTGAACCAGAGTCCAGCAATTGATTTTGCTACACTGACTTCCTTTGCCCACCAACTATTCACAACAAACTGACCGTGGTGGTCACCTATCCAAACACTATCCAGGCTATCCAAAAAAAGGTGTCAGTTTTGTTGCCCGATAAAAGGGTAAAAAAACAATTACATATTTTGCTACTGGCAAAAGAGGTTCCAATGGTGTAAATGCTTACCCCGAGCTCTCATACTCTGATGGTGCATTGTCTTTGAGTTGTGTGCCTTTTGGCGTCATCTGGTCCAACACCATGTGAGACTAGACTCTAAGAAAAGCTGTCTCGGGTGTGGACCAATAAAATTTCCAGGACAGTGCATACATTATCAGAGTTGTGTTTTTTGTTTGCATTCCGACCGCATGTATTGTGGTCAATGCAAACATGACTCCTTGTAAAAAAAGGTGTCAGTTTTGTTGCCAGATAAAAGGGTAAAAAACCAACTATCACTATCCAGGCATTTAAATCCTGCTTAGCTTCTGGGAGCTGTCGAGATCGGGCCATTCCGTGTGATTTGGTTAACGTAAATTCTTGATAAAATGAGCTCCTTTGCTGTTTCCACCTCCTAATCAGTAGTCGGATTACATCTCTGTGTCCGTGGTGAGTCTATCCATAGGGCAACCAACGCCGACATCCCCATAAAGTGGTACTCAATTTGTCGGCCCCAGATGGAGCCAACTCCTAAACCAGGATTGGAACTCACAACCTTCCGATTTCGAGCCAATAGTTCGTAATCGGAAGGTTGGCCATAGGATAAAATAGAATGAGCTGTAATGCTGCATAAAAATACTGGAGTTCATTTGAACATACTCACTTAGCCTTGGACTGGTGCAGGCACACTTTGGAATTGGTGTTGTACTTGGCCATTCCACACACAGTGCTGGCATTCGTACCAACACGTGGAGCTCTTCAGGGGCCACTTGTCACAGTAACTTACACACTCGATGAAGCTCCATGAGGCGCATGGTCGATGTCATTGGCAAAGCCCTCGATTAACAGTGACCTGCGCTACGAACTCGGGAAATATATTTAAATGCGGAGACCCAAAATGTTAATCTCATTTAGTATGTCCCCCCAACCCCCCCCCCCCCCCGTATATTATGCTGCACGCCAAGGCATAACGAGTTTGTGTTGAACAGGATCCCATAGTTTATATGGAATGCTCTTGCCAAGAACATCTGGAAATCTAGCCACATTTATCAAACAAGCTTGACTTTCTGGGGAGACGCAGAATGTTGAAATCGCTAAAGAGTTGTGTAGCTGATATTCATTTTTTTATGAATATACATTAAATGGAGAAATGCGGTGGAGTTCTGCTGACAATTTCCTTTTTTCCCAACCTCAGGTGCATTTCTGGCCACGGATGACACCAGGGGCAAGGTGATGTCCCAATCACGCTGTCTTGGTGCCCTCTCCCCCAGGTTAACTCAGCCATACACGAGAATTGCGCTTGATACTCTTAGGGTTTTCGGTAAAGTCACGTAGGTAAAAAATAAATAATAATAGAAAAAAATTGTGATTTATTATTTTATTTCTATTATTATTTCTATTACTTATTTATTTTTTACCTACGTGACTTTACCGAAAAACCCAAGAGTATGAATCCTTGCAGTCACGAAAGCTTCAAATCTAGAATTGCGCTTGATGTGTAAACATCACAAAACCCGCGTGTGCTATGTCACCCTTAATAGGTAGACTCAGCCTGAAATTAGTACGTCGTCCCAACAGCCTGCACGTTGAATGACTGCATGGGACATGTTTGTTAAGAACACTACACACTACATGATACGCATTTCTGCTAACGGGAGCGGTGATGCAGCGGTTAGATTCTCGGTTACGGACATCAGCGGCGCCTATGAGAACCAGATCTGTACATCCTCGTTCACCAACCCGCACCGCCGCCAAAAGTGGTGAAGTATGGTCAAACACCATTGGAACCTCATTTGCCAGAAACAATATAATTTGTTTTTTACCCTTCCATCTGGCAACAAAACTGACTTACAAGGAGTCATGTTTGCAGGTATTGTGTTCTATGTAAACATGACTGCTTGTAAAAAAAAATGTGTCAGTTTGGTTGCCAGATGGAAGGGTAAAAAAAAAACAATTTTAATTTTTATGGTCAAACAATCGACACGGCGTGCAGAGCTCTTCCTGCAAGCGGTCGACAATTCGACAGCTGCAATCGTAGTCCACGACACTTTGACATTAACAGGAGGCCCACAGTACAGCTCAGACGACAGCCTTCATGGGTCAAGTGCTGTTCGCAAGCACCTATGAAGGTCGGAACGACACACGACACGATACGATAGGTGGCCGGGAACACCGCCCAGCCGGCGATGTTTACACAACGCGCCAGGTTCTAATTTGAGGCCGAGTCGACCTAGGGGAGACCCAGGACCGGTTCAGATAATCGTCAACGGTGTTGGCCCGTGAGCTGGCGTCGAACTCGGCTCCCGTCTTACAAACACACACACAGAGAGACAATCGTCAATCGCTGACAACAGCAGCATCAGTAAAGATTCCGTACCCGAGGTTCATGGCACGTCGTTGTCTGCGGCAGGGTCCTCAATTGACAACGCGTGCGACATTAACGCGAATTAAACAAAACAAACAAAACGAATGCGGCTTCAGTGAGCCACATGAGCGAAGAGGAGGAGGCCTTTGCACAGCCAGCCTTCAACGCTCGCGTGTGTTTCCATGCGAACCCAGCAAGAGCGACGCTCATTGGCCCCGTGCCCTTCGGATTCTTCGGCCAATTGGATGGGCGTCAGGGGTGGCACGTGGGTTGGGCTGGGTGGATTGTTGCAGCAAGAAAGTTCCACCCACTGGCAGTTCAGTTTCATAATAAAGGTTTTTGGGTTAGATCGCGTTGTGTATAAATGTGTCGTAACCCTCCACCACCCGACACGGCCAAACAGTAAAATAAATGTCAAAATTAATAAAAATAAAAATATAAAAATCACGACGTTTCGGAGGCAACACAAGCTTCCGTCTTCAGGTGAAACTGTCACAGCACGACAGATTTTTTGCTGTGAAAGTTTCACCTGAAGACGGAAGCTTGTGTTGCCTCCGAAACTTCGTGATTTTATTGTTTTTATTTTTTATTAATTTTAATTTCATTTTTTACCTACGTGACTTTACCGAAGGAACTAAGAGTATGAATCCTTGCAGTCACGAAAGCTTCAAATCTAGAAGTAAAAAAATGCTCACGTTTTTCAAAGGACTAAATAATTCACTTCTTTAGCCCACCAGTGTGCTGAAGAGAGAATCAACAGCATTTTAAAATTTAAGTATTACGACGTTTCTCTGATAATTACAATCAGCTTCATCGGGCAAGAATGGTGAAGCTCTCCTGTTGCTTCCAGTCTTAAATAGAACAGCATCAGGGTGACGTCATCATTTATTAAATTCAGTTAAATTTCACTGGCATTGACCAGGTCCCCAATTCTCTGGCTCACGCCCGATGTCAGTAAATTTGGGGCCCAATTGACTGACTTTGACCTGGTCCCAAATCCTCTGATTTTGACCAGGTCCCCAATTCACTGTCTTCCGCCTGAAGTCAGTACATTTGGGCCACAATTCACTCACTTTGACCTGGTCCCAAATTCACTCACTTTGACCTGGTCTCTAATTCGCTGGCTAGCGCCCGAAAACAGTGAATTGGGCCACAATTCAATGACTTTAACCAGGTCCCTAATTCACTGGCTAGCGCCCAAAGTCAGAAAATTGGGCCCCAATTCACTGGCTTGTGCCCGAAGTCTGTGAAATGGGCCCCAATTTAATCGGGCCCCTATGCACTCACCTTGGCACCAAATTCGCTGACTTTTCCATAGACAGTGATAACGTGATTAGTCTAGCCTTTACTTATTGATACATTGCTTAGCCTCGCGTTTACAGTACTTTAGCAGAGCCATTTAGAGTAAGTGTTGATTTAGGCTTTTCGGAGGTTCTCCAATTACACCGTTTAAAGGTTATAGCCCAGAGGATTGGCAACGGTTTAAAGAGCCGTTATGCTTGTGAATACGTGACGATCCTGAATAAATAACGATCACGAAGCAGTTGCCGACCCCTGCCCATGGTAAACTGGACTCCCATGGTAAACTGGACTTCCATAGTAAACTGGATTTACATGGTAAACTAGACTCCCATGGTAAACTTGGCTTCCATGCAAAACTTAACTTCAATGGTAAACTCGACTCCCATGGTGAACCGGATTTACAGAGTAAACTGGACTCCCATGGTGAACTGGTTTTCCATGGTAAACTGGACTCCCATGGTGAACTGGTTTTGCATGGTAAACTGGACTTCCATGCAAAACTGAACTTCAATGGTAAACTCGACTCCCATGGTGAACCGGATTTACAGAGTAAACTGGACTCCCATGGTGAACTGGTTTTGCATGGTAAACTGGACTTCAATGGTAAACTCGACTCCCATGGTGAACTGGATTTACAGAGTAAACTGGACTCCCATGGTGAACTGGTTTTGCATGGTAAACTGGACTTCCATGGACAATGGTCGGCAACCAAATAACAAGAGCCATTTTCTTCAAATTCGGGAGAAAAAAACTTTGTATTTCTGGAGCCACAATGCACGTGAACACAAGGCGGTGGTTCTTACTAAATACCAGTCACGAAGCAGTCCTTTAAGCCGCAGGCGGCTTTGGAGCCACAGGTTGCTGACCTCTGCTCTAACCCCATACCCCAGCCCTCAACAAGCTTTCCACCTGAGTCTGCAGAGAACCAATTTCATGAGATGGATTTGTCAATCTACGGAAGTCGACATCGGCAAGCATTATAGTAGTATCCAGGCATCTGAATACAACACAAAACCGCAGTCTTCTATTTTGTAATCAGCACAACCGGATCCCCAGTGTCTTGTGTAGGGTGGGATCACAGTAGCCTGCAACCTTTATAATTCAAAATTATACTTTAACCCCTCCACATTGCAAAAAGACCACACTCATCTTCGGAATGTGAACATTGTGTATCTCTTGAACAACTATGTACTGAATTACAAATAATTTTCCAGCTTCTTTGAAATGCAGATTCTATATTTGCCATGTTTAAGTACTTCGCATTAAAGAGATGCGGCCGACTTTCTTGCATTGTGTAGTTTATGAAGCGTTTGACTAGTTTAGCTGCAGTATACAGTAATTGAGAAATATAGGTGAAATGCCAATTTGTTTTCGCATCGGCATAGGCTAGTTCTTATTTGATGTCTTTTTGCAGACTTGCATGTCAAGTGTAAAAAAAAAACATTAACAGACCCATTTACACCTCATAGATATTATAAAACCTGTTAACCTTATAATCCGTAAATATATTACAGAAGATGAAATCAGCTGCAAGTCCAGTTCTTGCGCGTCCCTAATCCATTTTTTTGCGGATTAAATTAATCGCACAACCCTTTCCTACCGTAATCCACAGCACACCATGTCGGCACGAAAATGTTTTCGTGCATTAATGGGCTCACATCCGCGATGCCCCCCTCTGCATTATGGAGTTCTGCTGTTCACCCTTGGAGAGACCTTTGGAAATAAATGATCACTCACCGGAACCATGTGTGTGCCCCTGCCTTCTGAAGCCACACCGAGCTTACAGGATGACGAGGAACCAGGACACAACGTAGGAGTTTCGTCTAAACAGTTGCCATGTGTTGTTTTGTGTCGGCCTGTGCTCTTACGAATACAAGCTAGAGAAAGAGGGGACAAGGCTGGGCCGGCTACACAATGCCAAAAGCAAGTCAGTCTAACAACACGGACACATCTCCCGCTTTATTATTAAAGGTAAAATAATGACTAAACATGTGATATACCAACAATAGGTGTATGTAATTAAGAACGTGTATGACCTGTAACTTTGGGCAATGTTTATTGTTGGGACTGTACTAGGCATCAGAAAACATGAATTTAACAAAAAATAACAGCAACATGTAACACATTACAGTACCACACGAAGAAACAACACAGACCAGCACAAACCATTAACAGTACAATAACACAATCCAGTACACCCTGATGCAGTGTTGTAAATTTCACATTCCTCTTGCAGGGGTAACTTTATCCATTGGATGTCATTTTGATGTCACGTGACATCCCAATGCCATCACCAAGGCGTCACTATGACGTCAATTTTGCAACATTTTAAAGAATTAAAAATAGTACGTTTATTGCACGTTAAAATATTGATTAACAATGTTTGCTATTAATAATAGCAAACAATGTTTGCTATTATTAAATCTAAAAGTTTTTAAACATGTTTAATTATAATCATACATATCCACATATGCTGAATTTAAATGTCGATTAAGCATATGTTGCATTGGAATGTTGTCGAATATCATGTGTCCCTCATAACGAGCGACACGCGTTTTTGAAAAACAGCACACAACTCGAATCGCGCTGTATGAAGTCTATTGTCCCATAGACATACATGTTATAAGGGGGGATTGCGTTTCGGAAGAATGTATTTTTTAAATTACTTTAGTCCTGTATTTACAAAAAAACATATTAGTCACACTTTATATTAACATGAATAACAAATAATAATTAAGATTGAAAAGATTACTACTGACAAAGATTACTTAATAAGGAGTAACTTCAGGGCTTATTGAATGCTTCCGTGGGCAGCAGTTGCAAGGAGCGACGCCCGGGCCCGTGACACCCGGCGCTGCTACAACGGCGGTGACGCCATCAGAATTTTTATTTTCACTTTGAAATTTTGTCCTTGAAAATTATTTGGAAAAATGTAAATAAAAATTGAGCACACCACTGTGGAAGGCATAGCAGAAACGTGTGAAGTCCCTATAAGATGAATCGCTTAGCTGCAAATTTGCGCGATGGGGAGGGGGGTGCATTTCGCGAGGGACTCCTGTTAATTTAAATATCGATTTTCAACTGCTTCTTGCACCTAACGCATCAATGATAAATAAACTTTATAAATTTAGTTCTGCTTGGATAGTGTATGTGATGTATTTCTGTGCTGTGGCAGCCACAAACCCACCTTCCCTCCACAAATCAGGGCACCATCTTCGGAGAGGCAGTGTGGGTATGGAAAACTTCCTTTAAAACAAAAGGATGCATTTGGCCGTGTTATTGCTGACATTACTATCATTTTGTTAACTAAATTAAACAGAATAATAGTTGCTTGCTTGGCATTAGGCCCACATCCACAAGCCTGTTTGCCCGATTTCAATTTTACCTGGGATTTGAGTGGCTTGCTTGGCTGACTGCAGTCTCCTGCATCTCCCTCGACTTACTATGCCCTAACATTCCTACTGGCTCTTGGCTTCCATTCGTCAGTATATATATAAAAAAAAGAAAATACTAAAAGAACACATCAAGAATGTATTTGTTTACAGGAGCACAGGGCTGGTTCAGCCTGGACCAGACAACAGCTGCCAGGGGCATCGCCTAGTTCGTACGAGCCCTGTAGGATCTGCAACGGGTCCTCCTGCCCACCTTTCTTGGTCTTAGTGAAGTATGGGAATTGACGGCAGGAACTTCTTGACGGGTAACACACTTTTATTAAATCCTTTAGGTATCACAATACAACGTGTGGTCTCTCTTCTTCCTCCGACACACTCCACTAATCTCGTGTAAGCTCTAGGCCTCTGGCTACACCCGATACACTTGACTCGTGTAGACCCTATGCCTCTGGCTACACACAATATACTCGACTCGTGTAAGCCCTATGCCTCTGGCTACACAATACACTCGACTCGTGTAAGCCCTATGCCCTGGCTACACATAGTACATTCGGCTCGTGTAGACCTATGGCTACACCCCCTACACTCGCCTCTGGGTTACACAGAGTCCCGGTCCCCTTAGGACAGCGGGGCTAGGTACCGCAGGGCTCTAGGTCTTCATCCCCGTCTTCCTTCTTCGCTGGTTACACACTGCCCTTACGCCTGTGTGCATCCCCTTTTATAGCCCCTGCTCACGAGGGACGGAGCTGATGCGGCGTCGACGTGAGCGTCGTTCCTTAATGACCCAATCACGACGCACTCTCTCTACGATCCGCTTTCCCCAGCGCGTGTTAACATTACTCCACCAATCACACTGCGCTGCCACCTGATCACTCCCTCTCAGCGCGTCACCGCCCACAGCCAATCGGTACCCCGTAACCCACGACCCCGCGCTGACCCCTGATCCTCCACCGTCAGCGCGCGTCACCACCTACACAGCCAATCATCACGCACTGTGCATACGATCCTTAATCCCAGCGCGTATCACCTCTACATCACCCCCTCCCACATAGCTTGCAGCCGGCCCGGCTGTTAACCTACAACACAACATAACGCAACGCAGTAATAAAGAACTCCACATCCCAGTGTGCCCCGTAACACAACAACAACAACATAACACAACCTTAAATATGAAGCAATATACAGCCCGACGAACAACACAATAAAAGCGAACACCGTAAAACGAACGCGCCAAGTGTCACTGTGACCCACGCAGTGCCGAGGCGCTCCGGCTGCCTCGACTCCGCACGTGGTAGGTTACACAAAGTAGCGCGACCTAGCGCGAGTCCGTCTGGCCGGTCCGTCGTATGGAACGGGACGTTGGCGACCGTCCGGTGTCTCCGGCAGCTCTAGACGGCACGGGTCGGGCCTGGAAGGACCGGCCCCGCCGTGAAGATCCGGCCGCCGGTGGTCGGCAGCAGTCAGTTCCGAGACACCTGGGAGCGGATCAGGCGGAGACATGTGAGGAGCAGGCAAGGACAATTCCCTCTCAGGGTCGTCGGTCACGTCACATGCTCGGCCCTCACGACACAAGGGGAGGCCATACGGAGGCGAGAACGGTTTCAGTCGGGAGGGGTGGACGTACCAACGGCGTTTCCCCCATTTTATCTGAACGCACTGGGGGCGTGCCACCCGCACGACCTCCACGGGTCCCCGCCACGGCTTCAACAATTTAGGCGACGTGGCCAAAGGTGCCTGAGGGCAATGCAGCCAGGCCTTGTCACCTGGTTCCCAATTGTGCACGGACACCTTCCGTGCCCGCAACCGCTCGTTCGCAATTTGGCGAGCCCGCGAATTAAGCCGTGCGGCCTCCCTTGCCTCTGTCAGTTTATGAATATTAAATTTAATATGCTCTGCCAATTTAGAATTAGTTCGTGGTGCGGGCAGACCCAGCTGCGTTTCCATGGGCGGGTCGGCTTCCCGACCGTACATTAGAAAAAACGGGGAAAACCCCGTAGCTGCATGGGGGGCCATTCTATACGCGGCAAGGACCCCAGGGACCTGCAGGTCCCAATCAACATGCGACTCACACACCTGCTGGCACAGCATAGAGGTCAATGTCCTGTTAAGCCTCTCCACCATCCCGTCCGTCTGCGGGTGGTACGGGGAGGTACGCACCTTTTTGGTACCCAACAGGTCGCACACCTCCTGCAGTAATTTACTCGAAAAATTTTTCCCTTGGTCAGTCAGCAAGCGTTCGGGAGCCCCCTTGTCCAGGACGTAGCCCTGGACAAAGGCGTCCGTCACAGCCGCCGCCGACTGGTTGGCGAGTGGCCACGCCATAGGCCACCGGGTAAAATATTCGACCCCCACCAACAGGTACTTATTACCCCTAGGCGTGACCGGAAAGGGCCCCAGAATATCGAGTGCAACGAGCTCGTTAGTGCGCGAGACCTGAATAGATTGCAGCGGTGGATTAGCTGCCACGGGCGGTGGTTTCCGTCTGGCGCACTCAACACAACCCTTCAGAATATTCACCACGTCACCCCCCATTCCCGGCCAATAATAGTCACGCTGAAGCAGGGCAAGCGTTTTGTTAACTCCCAAATGCAAGAGGCGTTCGTGTGCGGCCAAGACAACCTTCCCCCTCACAGCAGAAGGCACCACAATCGCATGCCGTCGGGACAAACTGTCCCATCTCATCAACAGGCCCTGCTTAAGCTCGTAGGAGCCAGTTCGGTCGTGGCTACCTTCGGAACCCTCCGTCTTTCGGCGCAATGTCAGCAGGGAGCTGTCCGCCATTTGGAGACGGCCCCACTCAATCAACGACAGTGAGAGCAGCGAGTCCTGACCCCCTGGGGTAGCGGGACCATCCCCAATTGGTGTGCTCGCGGTCGCAACCAACGCCTCCCTACCTTCCGTAACCGGAGGTTTACAGCGCGCCGATCCCGATAAGCACGCACATTTGTGACAAGGCAACAACCGCGACAGGGCATCGGCATTCGTGTGTCGCAACCCTTTACGGTACGTAGTCGTGAACTGATAGTCCTGGAGGACTTCCAACCACCGGTGACAATTGGCCCGAGGGCTGGGCAACCCGTAATGAATACTGGAGCGCCGCATGGTCCGTCCGGACCGTGAAATGATGACCATAGAGATATGGCCTGAATTGTTGTACAAAAAAAACAATGGCAAGTAGTTCACGACGGGTGACGCAGTAGCGCTGCTCTGCCGGCGACAACACCCTGCTACCATAGGCGACCACCCATTCGACCCCTCCAACGACTTGGGACAGCACTCCCCCAATGCCCGCGTTGCTAGCATCCGTGTCTAGCAAGAAGGGACTCTCAAAGTCCGGATAGCACAAGGGTGGGGCCCTTACCAAGGCGTCCCGGAGGGAGCAGAATGCAGCCTCCTCCTCCGGTCCCCACCGGAACTTCACTCCTTTTGCCGTTAGAGCGTGCAAGGGCTTTGCAATGGTGGCGAAGTGCTCAACGAATCGGCGATAATACGAAGCAAAACCGATGAAACTGCGCACGTCTGACACTGACGTGGGCGTCGGCCACGAACTGACACAGTCCGTCTTCGCAGGATCGGTAGAAATCCCCGAAGAGTCGACAATGTGACCCAAGTACCTCACGGATTTACGAAAAAGATGGCATTTGGCCGGTTTAAACTTTAATTTAGCCGATCGCATTCGCAAGAACACCCCTCTCAATCGCTGGAGGTGTTCTTCGAACGTTTTACCGAAAACAATGACATCGTCAAGGCAAATGAGGCACGTCTCCCACTGCAAGCCCGACAAAACCAATTCCATAAGACGCTGAAACGTCGCAGGAGAGGAGTGAAGTCCCATGGGTAACCGGTTAAACTGAAACAGGCCCCCTGGAGTCCGGAATGCAGTCTTAGGCTTAGACTCCTCGTCGAGTGGCAACTGCCAAAATCCGGACAATAAATCAAGAGTCGAAAAGTATCGCGCACCGGACAATGCGTCGAGAGACTCGTCCATCCTGGGGAGCGGATACGCGTCGGCCACCGAGATCTTATTCAGGCGGCGGAAATCGACGCAAAATCGCAGGGACCCGTCCTGCTTTTTAACGAGCACAATAGGTGCTCCCCAAGGACTGGAAGAAGGCGAAATAATGTCGGCTTCCAGCATATCGTTAACTGCCGACTGAACATGTTCCTTCTCAGCAGGACTCAGTCGGAAGGGATTTTGCCTGACCGGTGCCGCATCGCCCGTTTCAATGTGGTGGCGTAGCAGGTCCGTGCATCCGATATCATACTTATGTTTACTGAAGACATCCGAAAATTCAATCAGCAACCCGCGCAACGCACCCAGCTGTAGCGCTGACAAATCGTCAGAGTCCGCGCACAGCATATCAATCCAATCTAGGTCCTCCTTTGATGGTACGCTATTCGTGGGGCTCGGATCAGCCTGTGCAACCAGCCTCTCCTCCGCAGGGACCCGTGCCGCGTGAGCCAGCACGGTGCCCTGCTGAATGACGGCCGGCCGCGCCCCAGCGTTTAAAACCATGACAAACGGATCCCTGTCTGCCCCAACCAAAGTGTGAGCCACCGATAAATCGAGACCTCCAACAGCCCTATTAGAAGGACCCAGAAGCATGGCCTGTTCCGAGGCCTCCTTCCCCCATGGCTTCCGTAACCGGAGGGGAATCAACATTTGTGAACCCGGGGGCACGTGCACGGTCTGTGTTGCTAACGCCTGAATGGTAGCGCACGCCGTCCGAATTACATTAGGGCTCGTCAAAAATGAAATACGGCGACCCGATGGTAGTTCAATGCAACGCTGATCAATGAGAATTTTGATGGGCATTTTCGCCAAAAAATCAGTGCCCAATAGGCAAGGAACCGCCAGGGAAGATGAAACGAAAACGGGTCCCGACAATTTGATATCACCAATGCAAATGGACGCCCTAATCTGACCGATGATGCCCAACGATTCCCCGTTTGCGGCGTAAAATGGCACATCCACCGGAAGAAGCGGACGACATTGTACCGGGAGAATATTATAAATGAGATCCGAAATAATAGTCGCCGATGCCCCCGTGTCCACTAACACCCTGACCTCGACCCCATCAATCGATCCGGTAACGACGGATGAACCCGCTGAGGCAGCCACTATTCTGTGCCCCAATTCCGACCATTTAATGTCTCCCCGGTCCCGGCCGAACCCCCCTCTCCGAACCGAATCCCCGAACTCTACTCGGCTCTCCCTCGTCGCAACGCGACGACCCATACGTGTCGAGTATGCGGGCCAAGC